CTGTGTTGAGGAAGAGCAGAGGGTGACCCTGCTCTGCTGGGCATCAGTTTTCTCCCACACTACATCATGTTGACGAGAACCATGACTTAAAGCTTCGCGAGAAACAAACCTGCAGTACATTCAGCTCTGACGTCCCTTTCTGTGCACATGTGTTTGTATTTAGTGGTGTTATCTTTGCCTTGTCATCCAAAGTGTTAGGCCTTAAATTATTTGCTTCTTATTACCAATGTGTTAAAGGGACTCCATTTCACAAACACTTATGACTCTTATTTGACTCATCAAATGACGCTAGAGACTTCACTGCAGTAATCTCAATTTGAATTTGGAGGCAACACAAATAACCCAAAGTCTTGGTTCAATGTCGGGGTAAAAAGTCTGACATTTTAGACTGATTAATACAAGGCTGACTATAGCTGTCAGGTAAATGTAAAGGAGCCATATTGCACTCACAAATGTAATGCTAAGGAGAATAAGTAGCATTAAATAATAAGTAATTGTACCTACTGCAAGGAAACAGTTCAACATGAAGACCATCAGTTTAACCCAAAGGCTAGAAAGAGATGGTCTGGATCACTTCAAAGGTTAAAAAAAAATCTGACTTCCAGCATGTCTCAAACTCACGGATTAACTTGTTCTATCAAAAACTTGTAAAACTGAAACATGACATTTGTATACCTTGGCTTTTGTAAGCCAGCTGCCTCCTGGCTGGAGCTTCTTATTAAAGTGACACATCTTCTCATTTATGTATCGGCAAGTAAGCAAATAAATGTCATGTCAAACTTTAACTTTGATAAATCCTACTGATGAGGTAATGGCTTGTTGTTATACTGTATAATTACCATGCAACAAATAAGACCATTTTTATATTATGAAATTAAACTTTCAATACACATAATGTTGATTCAACTTCATTGCAATTCTTAAGGCTATACTTCGTGTCACTAAATAGCATGACACTAGGTGCATTTCTGCATACATAAAGATTAATTGGCTGCTTTCCTTAGCTTAATATTAAACATAAAGTCATGATAGTGGTATCTTTTTTTTTTTTTTTACTCAAAGCAAGGCACATACGCATATTTACTAACATGTGAAACTCTTTCTTTAAGTATATTACTCGGATGAATACACTTATCTGCAAGGCTGCAATAGAAGCAAGTTAATGCCAAACCTCAAGGGTCTGAAATCCAGTGAGCTGTGACTCACTGGACACACCACAAACCACTTTGCACGCTCACCTCAGCCCCTCACGCCCAGGACTCGCTGTGTTTCAGAGGCTGATCCTTTGGAGAGAGAAAAGATGCAGCTCCAACACGACCAGGGAGCGGCTGTTTTACTGTCAAAAATATCCAATCAACAGTGACCACTTCCCTCCCCCAGACTCTCTCATTCCTCACCTCAAGGCATGTTATAGTTACTGATGTTCTTATCTGACGAGTCCAGTATTAAGATAAGTTCCTGGTCTCATTTACAATCTTCTGACACGAAACTTACTTACCAGTTATTTTATTAATATATGCCTTTAATTATGAAGAGAACAGTAATGTGAATCTGAATAATAGCGAGCTGCAACAATATGTGTAATTTGGGGATTTTTTAGAAACTTGTCTGTGACAGAGCACTACATCCAAACAAATAAGTCCATAGAGGAGGTTTGACATGAATCATGAATGTATCTTGTTGACTTATACAAGTAGTTTCTGGTCGAGCCTCTTAAATCACGTAGGTATGAATAGATGTTGGCATTGATGGAAAGTCAAGTCAAATTTATTTTATAAAGCAAAATATCACAAATCATAAATTTGCCTCAAGGGTCATTACAATTGGAAACCAATACAGATAACAGTAACAAGTACTGTGCTTAAGTTAAAGATCATGATTAATAATACAAAGTATAGTTAACATGTTAATTTGGCTTAATAATGTTTTATTCTACAGCAAAAATAAAGAAGATAAGACTTTGTCAGACGGAAATCTACAAAGCTTCATATGTATACAGTCAATGAAACTAGTCCCAAATTAACAATCTGCAACAATAAAATTAGATACACATTGATTTGGCAATAATTATTATAAAATTATATAATATACACTATTCTGGAATTGGCCTATCTGCATAATAAGATATTTGTTTTGTTCTACGAAATAGGAAATGATGCATGATATATAAAATAAAATAAAAATACATGCATTGATTGTTTTCAACACTAATAATAAAGTGATTAAGTGATAACTTAGTGATAAAGTTCTGATTAATTTATGTGAGTATTTGGATCTTATAAGTGAAGTTCTTTGTCATCAGCAATTAAATATTTACATTTAGAAGTGAGGTTGAGGTTGAAATGCAGAAAAATAAATCTAGTCAGATGAAAATGTGGATTTATTTCCTCCATTATACAGCTAGCAAAAAGATGAATTGCGAACTTGGTGACGCCGTAACCAGGAGAGCTGCAGAAATGTTGGACCATGACATGAAGATATGGAAGCAGCAAGCATCATCATTTCAAATCACTTAAAGAAGGTCATGAGAAGGGAGGGGGACAGGGAGTTTACAGAGGGAGTAAATTGAGAAACCAATGAAACTGAAGATAGGGCGTCCTCCAATATTTTGGTGGTCGTGCTTTGGGAGGGTGTGTAATAAAAGCTGCAGTAGCCTAAACAGGACATAACTATATGAAAATTAGGATACTTTTTAAGGTGACTGGTTAGAAAATGTAGAATTGGATGGGGGTTATTGAAAGCAAATCTGCAGGATTCAAATGTAGTTGCACTGCTGCCTGACAGTTGGTTGTCTTGAGGCAGACAAAGCCTCTTGGCAGTGGGATCAGGAGTAAACGTGGTCTTGTCAGCAGTGATGGAGAGGCCTTGCAGAGGGCAGGACTTTCCAGGGGAAAAAAAGCAGAGCAGTATTGTTGAGACTAAGTTTGAGGTGGTGGGCAGACATCCAACTGGAGATGTCAGCGAGGCTAGTGGAGATGCCTGCCTCAACCTGAGTGTCAGTGGATGGAAAAGAGAAGTTGTGGCATACAATGATATATATACTACCCTGTGCACCAGATGAAGTACTACATAAAGTTAGACGCCTGTTAAAGCAGCTCAGGCAGGTCACTGCCATTTTCTTTAGGAGGTGCAGAAAGGGACTGAGTGTTGCGTCTGAAAAGCACAGCGGTGTGGTTCAACGACATGAGAAAATCAATTGTCTCAACTTTGCCAATGCAACATCCTGTGATCATGTTTTGTGTAACGTTTGTCTTGATCAAAACTTGAGAATCTAATGAGCAACATCAACACATATGGTATGTAAGTGCAGGTTGAGGCCGTGTTCGGACATGTGTGAGAGGAGAATGTGTATAATATTAATGGTGGAAAAAAGGAAAGAATCTGATAGTGGAAACGAATGCTGTTGAATATACAGTGTCAAGAGTTTTTGGAGTGATAGCATACTGGAGAGCGCAGCCAGGCTGACTCTATGTTTGCTGGGTGTGGCTGTAGACATGAAGCAGTGTGTGTGTGAAATCTATCACTGCACTGGACAAAATTCCTCATAATACAGTGGGCACATGTACATATGTATAGGACATTATTCAATACTAAATTAACAGGAATCAAACTGTTTAAAACAAATGTATTTATTCAGACAAGACTGAGCTTTTGTGTATCTATTTAAATGCCCCTGACTTCTGGGTTTGACAAGTGTAATGCACATTAGCTATAATCCCCATTTTGGAACCCTCTTTCTACAGTAAACAAGCATTTTATCAAAAACTTTTAGAGATAATGGAGACTCCCATTTGCAGTCCTGCACTCTTCTCCTGCAGCAGCAGCTATATTCTTTTTTAGTTCTCTTATATGATCAGGAAGAACTGATATCTGAGAAATCAATCTAGAGAAAGTGATAAACTCACAACCACTTTTTAACTGATATACCAACATTTATAACTAATAAATAGCAAAACCGAAGACTAAAAACCAGCCTAAGCATCAAAACTCGGTATCAGTTGTTATTATTAGTGGCTCATAACTGATATATTGAGTTTGTAAATCATTCATCAACACTTACAGGTTATTAGTTACAACGTATTCCCTTTCCTTGTTAGCATGTGGTAGGCTACAAGCCACAATATACAGTAGCCTAAATAGTGAACAGGTGCATTTAAAAAAAGAAAGAAAATGCAACTACTAAAAATATCTCATAGTAGGCTATATTATTTATGACCAAATTTCGACACAGATTCTAGAGGGTTTTATAAACTCTGTCTTCTTCTTTCAAACTTCTCTGGGTCTATTCAAATGTAACCGTTAAGATATCAAGCGAAAGATTTACACAGCTTTTCTTGTGCAATTTTGTTCTCCAGCTTTTGTATCGCGAGAGCAGGGGAAGAAAGGAGAAAAAAAAGTTTGGGGGAAAGTTGATCAGAGCAGGGATGAGGAAAGCGCTGCGAGAGAGCCACAGTGAGTTCTGCCATTCTCATCCTCAGGAATGCATCAGCTCCTCTAACTTATCTGTGCAGAGGCAACACACAACTGGATGCGCAAGAGCACACACCAAACCTTACGATGCGCATCTATTTATAGCAGCTTAGCGAAAGGTTTGAGTAACTCTTCTTCTTCTCCACAGTTTTCTTCTAAACGTTTATTCAGCAATATCAGCAGGAAAGAGTTAAGAAGTCCTCTGTCGGGTCTGAGGCGAATCTCCTGTTCGGGAGACAAGGTAAAGTAACGACTCTCTCGTGCGCAATTTTGCACGTTTTTCATTTTTTGTTACACTGCATTCTTTTGTGACTATCAGCTTCTTACCTAATAACGGTATAAGTCATAGAATGCGTCATTTTTCTTTTGTGCGCAGCATCTCCTGCACTCCCCTTTGCGTCTTTTCCAAACTTTTTTTTAATTGTTTTGCAGCTTTGACTCCAGACTGCAGAGGTCGACGAGGCTAGGAAACGAGTTTAGGAGACTTTTATTCTACCGAGGGCTGGAGTTGTATACACTTGAGAGTGGATATGCCGGACAGTAAGTGTGGAGGACGGCTGCTGCAGTTGGCCGTGGCTCTGGTGGCTTTGCTGTCTCTCGCTGAGCTTGGACACTTTGCAGAGGTGGTGGACACCGAGGACAGCGAGCCGACGGCCAAGCAGACCGACTCCAGAGCCAGCAGGGCCAAGAGGAGGGGAGGGTCGGACGTCCTCAGAGGGTAATGTGACTATGATAATCCCACTAAGTCCAATTTGGGAACATTTTTTATTTTCTCCAATGTCCTGCATGCCAGTTTCCCTTCAAGCTTTTTGAATATAAGTGAGCGTCTAACAGTTTGTGTACAGTAAGAGCAGGTGTCCATTCTCACGTTGGACTTGCTGTTCCTTCAAAAATATGCAATAAAGCTTACTAAGACCCATGGGTGACATTGTCGGTGATGGGAAGTTTGGAGCAACGTTTAGTAATTAAATACTGGCAAGAATATCACATTCCTGCTGACTGCAATAATAAATTAAATCCAAACAAAGGAGGCCATTGGTCGTGTGTGGCTGTGGCAGAGAGAGGGAGAGAGAGAGACTAACAGCCTAATCCTCTTTCTGGCCAAAAACACCACACCCCAGTTATGGATAAATCACATCTGCAGCTGTACACAGTGGGTCACTGCTGGAGAGGTTGTGTGTGTGTGTGTGTGTGTGTGTGTGTGTGTGTGTGTGTGTGTGTGTGTGTGTGTGTGTGTGTGTGTGTGTGTGTGTGTGTGTGTGTGTGTGTGTGTGTGTGTGTGTGCATGTGCATGTGCAGAAAGGGAGAGAGAGAGAGAGACAGAGAGAAAGAAGAAGAGAAAGCACGTCTGTGTCCAGTGATGACAGCAAACAGCTGATGAAGGTCACACAGTAGACAGCTCAATGAGCATTCTCCACAGGCATTTTTATTTGACATGCTTTAAGTTAATTTATCAGAACATCTGGGTTTAGAGGCAGGAAGTGCATATGGCTGCATACTGTGTCACGCTGACTTACCAGTAATAAGAATGTTTCAGAGATCCAACAGGCTTCATTATTCTCCGCCTAGCTCTGTGTAGAGTTACACTGTACAGTATACTCTGACCCCCCGGGTCAACACATGCTCAGTGGGTGGTTACACATTCACATATGTAGGCCTGTCACAGACCTGTAGGTGGCAGGATGGCCCAGGCGTTTATTTCCATGTCAGATGGAATGCTTTTTTTCACAGGTGCATCAGATTTCTTCCAACACCTTGTGCAGCCTAATATTCTCATCCATCAACAAAAAATGTTTTATTGGGAAGTGCCAAGTGCTGCATGCTAGGCCACGTCTGACAGTAGCAGTAGCACTAGCACAACATACTGTAACATGCTTTAATCCACTGGTATCCAACCTAAGGTTCAAGATCCCACAGTGGGATCACAGGAGGAATCTAAGTGGTCACTAGATATTTGAACACTCTTTAGTTTATCTTTCAACTGCTTTATTGTGAAATGCTAGTTAAGATGGAGCAATACCAGTTTGTCATATCCGATGCTAATACTGACTTATGACCTCTTTTGTTAATAATATGTTTGAATGCTTACATTTTGCCTAGTCTAGACTTATTCTTCTCTAGAATACGATCCAGGAATTTTTGGCAAATTTGTGCCAATAACGATATTGAGTTTCTGTCTGATGCCTCCTAACTAAAAAGGAAGCGAAAAAAATCCCTTTTGATGAAGTTTTTTATGACGCCCATGATGAGGGGTCATATGTAGGTTTGGCTTCATACTATGTCGTCAAAAGCAAAACACATGCTTTTTTAGAGGGCTGTGAAATCTTAATTTCAGTAACTTGGGAGAAGCTGTGTGTTTGCTTATTATAGAAATTGGACAGAATATTGTCATCTTTCAGTTGGTATATCAGTTATCGAGGTTCTAAGGACAGAGAGTGTTGCATGTTGAACAGAATGTAAAGCCCTCGAAAACAAATATGTGATTATGCTCTGTATGAATAAAATTAACTTGATTTGAGTGATTTGAACTGTGTGACATGGATTAATTACCCTGCATTTTCCACAGACCTAATGTGTGTGGATCAAGGAACAACGCTTACTGCTGCCCAGGCTGGAAGACTCTGACTGGAGGAAACCAGTGCATTGTTCGTAAGTATCACACATTTCTCTGTTGTCAATTCACTTCAGGTAGAACTTGGAGCTCTTCATCTTTGACACTGGTGGTAGTTTCCAGAGTCCAGCTGTGTTTATTGGCGCCATCCAGTCACAGTATTATATAATTGGGATGGAAAGTGAGTGCATGTGTCATTATCTGAAACTATCTTCTTTGTTGCAGAAAACATCCAACAGGAATTTGACTTGTGCAAACCAGTCTTGAATATTTATTGATTGACAGCATAAGAAATTAATTTGTCCTCATTCTTGAACAGTATCAAATGACTATATCAGGAAACAAATGCACTATTATTCCTAGTATTTAATGTTGCCTTTTATTGCACTTATTCAGTGATTTCAAAAACGGACTGCCAACACTTCACAGATTTCTATTCAAATATTGCTATTTAATCACCCAATAAATGTATATCAGTATGAGTTAATGTTGCTAACAGAGCTCTTAACATGACATAAAATAAATGGGAATTTGGTTATTAATTTTGGTCCATTTCCCCTAGTATTCTGGCAGTGGTTGTTTCTTTTCTCTCCCTCTCCCCCTCTCTCCCCCTGGTAGACAGGAAAGTCTGAGAGGCTGTAGATTTGTGTGATTGCAGTCTGGCTGGTCGGCTGGACAAATGCCTGTTGCGGCTCTAATGACATTGTTTAGCAGTGGGGTTCAGGGAACAGGGGTCAGTCGCTGGACTCTACCTGATGGGAGAGAGGGGCGGGGGACCATGCCAACATTAGTTAGTGGGAAAAAGAACAACTGAGCGAAAAACCTCTAGCCAACTCAAAACACACACTGGAACATATTATTAGCAACCAAGTGGGCTTCTTTAGCATGGCAATGATGGCGTTTAAAAGGAAGTTTGGGTCATATTTGGACTGTATGAGTTTTAAAATATTATACATTAGAGTTCAGTAAGCAACAGATACACAACATAGCATTTCTCAAGACACATCGTGGCACTATAAAGTGAGCATTGGACTGCTGATTAATATTGTACCTGACAAAGGATGTTTTTTTAAGTTTTTTGACCAAGTGACATGTTCCTCTTTGCAGCGATCTGCCGAAGTTCATGTGGAGACGGTTTCTGCTCCAGACCCAACATGTGCACCTGCCCCACCGGCCAGATCTCCCCAGCCTGTGGATCCAAGTCAGGTCATTAATCTGCACGTCCATTTTCCCAAGGAGTGAACTCTTTTGAAGCTTGCTTGATGGGTTTATAATATAGTGTACATAGATGAGGGAGTTAACTGGTATTTGACTTGGTTGATGATTTATGTAAATAGGAGTGTATGTCAGAAGTAAGCGTTTCTTGGAAAGTACGGCGTTTACTACCTCCCTGGCTTTTTGCTTTTTTTAAAAGGAGTTTTAATCTGAAGAAAAACATTTATTGCAGGAACAATAGTGACAAGCACTGACGGATGATGAAAACCATGCAGTCGTAGATGTAGCTTTCCTCTGTAGGATATGAAAAAGATTGTTAATTGGCTCAGATTCCTGTAGTTCAAACCGCACTATGGCTTTTGCATTTTTTTCCTACCTTTCCATCTCCTCATCAGGAGTAATGAGCACTAACTAGCATGGTATATAAATATGAGATACTAAGCCAAAAACTTCCTGAAAAAATAACCTTGAAACTGCTTTAAGCAATCGATATACTTTATGTTGCAATCACGTTCTTGAAAATACCGGTCAATTTCGTACTGTAGGTTGTTTGTGTGTGTGTGAGTCGTTTGGGTGTGTGTGTGCTTTGGAAGAGGTCCATAGTCAACATCTCCTCATTGTTGCTCTTCTTGCAGCTCACAGCGCTTCAACCCAATGTGCTCATCTGTTTGCACACCATAAATTTCTATGAAATGATATCCCAGCATGACTTTAAGAGTTCAGAGTGGATTATGTTTATGTTGTAAATCCAATATGCAGCGTATGTTTGTGTACTCTGAATTTAACTCTTAACATAACCCTGTGTGTCTGTTTGTGTGTAATTCTGTTGTTGTGCCCACAGTCCAGAACTGTAACATTCGGTGTATGAACGGGGGAACATGTGCTGAGGACAACTGCCAGTGTCAGAAAGGCTACGTGGGGAACCACTGTGGGCAACGTAAGGATCATTTTTTAGCTTGTTTTTATTGCTAATTAGCAAATGTTAGCATGCTATCAAGCTGAACCCTGAGCCTTTACTTTGTGATTGTTTGCATGTTCCTGTGAAAGCGCTATAATTAAACATAGTAAACATTCAGCTCAAGCTGGCCGGCCAAAGATCAGCCCCTCAGAGCTGCTAGCTTGTTGTAGTTTTGGCCATCCTTCCTATAAGTTATAATAACTTTGTACTTACCAAGATAATTGATGATGAAAAATACGTCTCCAAAATGTCATCACGTCATTATTTTGTACTCATTTCATTTGAGTGAAATTATCATAAATACCATATGAATACTTGAGGAATGGTCTAAAATGTGTTTTGTGAGGTCACAGAGATTGTTTTTCTCTCTTTTCTTCTCCAGCGGTTTGTGAGAATGGCTGCCTTAATGGAGGAAGGTGTGTGGCCCCCAACAAATGCGTGTGTACCTACGGCTTCACCGGGGCTCAGTGTGAGAGAGGTAAGGAACGCCACACTAACATCTTACATCACACATGCAGTCTCTTTACTCTACGTTCACTACTTACAACTGTGGAAGTGGTTTTCAAAGCGTATTATGTGCTGCTTCTGTGAAAATATGACTCTGTGCTGAATGGCTGTGGTTTTTTGTGACGAAAGACAATTCCTGCTTAGTCATGCCACCGGCTCCATGGATGTGGTTTGTTGTGGAAGATTTGCATGTCAAGCTTGGTCTACCAAATGACCAATTTTTCCACATCTGCTCTGAAGCACAACCCAGGGGAACGTGATGTCTTTGTTAGCTGAAGACCTCCCAACCTCCTGTGGTTGCTCTCTGGCACATGTGAACAAAAGATTCAAGGTATACAAGCACATGCAAACCGAGAGCAGCCTGCTCTTTGCACTTTGTGAGTGAAACTTGTGCATGTGCAGTCAAATGTGTATGCAGTTTATGTATGTGCTGGGGGTCTGTGGTGGTGATGACCTGAAAAGGTCAAAGGGGTGACCTTGTAAAGCTAATATTTGGATTAGCAGCAGAGCTCCTAATTAGTAACATCCCTTTTAACGAGGCCATGCTTGAGGGGCCTGTCAGTTCGGTGTGGATTGGTCCTTTTTTTACTTTAGTGCTTTCTTCAATCTTGCAACTAATAGGACACTATCATGTTGTCTGGTGGGTTAGCGCCAGCGCTTATCTGCTGAAGCACACTTGTACATGCTGTGACTTTGCTTTTCACCCTTTCCTGTGGAAGCTTGGCCAAAGGGTTTGTGAGAATCAAATCAAGCACACAGTATCTTGTAGATGTTTACAAGGAACCTCTTAAACACTCTGCTGTTGGTGTCTTTTGTTTTGGTTTCTGGTTGAATGGAAAGAAGATTGAACCCCATCTAGTTTTAAAATGTTGATTTTCCACTGGTATTTACTTTTACGTTTGCTGATAAGGACTTCATAGTAAAACAGGCTTACCTTTTGTCGTGGCCATAATAATTCACTATAACTCTAGTATCGCAATACCTATAGAATATTGGAACCAAAATGTTTTCAAAAACAATATGTTGGTACTCTTATTTAGAAAACATGCCTCATATTGTCATCGTACTAATCGAACATTATAATATTTTCTGCCCTGTCAATTGATCAGTTATTTGGTCCTTCATCTTGCATTTGGTTGTACTAATAGAGGTAAGGAAAGTAGGCCAACGTTTACAGTCATGTTTTGGGTTAAGTTACTTTCACTGGAATTTCCTTGGCTAGTATCCATCACCACCTCCCAAGGGAAAGCCATTGTGCTCTCACACAAACATGAGCACATGCACAACCCCACACTGTTGTTAATGCAATTTACAGAACAGTGCCTCAATTATGGCTTGATCTTATCACTTTAGCAAGAACACAAGGTTTTCAACAAACACATGCTCTGACCAGGGGAGAGGTAGCTGGACTCAGGACTCAGGGGGTTCTTTGGATGTGGAAAGATCCTGGAGCAATCAGGGCTCGACATTAACACACCACCACTGCAGAGCTGTGTGCTACCAAGTGGCTGGTGATCTGCTGGCCAGCGGCCCCTCCACCAGGCACAGCTGACTGCAGTGAAAATGCAGCCTGGGATATCAACGCGCTTTTTGTTGGTTACAAATGTGATTTAGGTTGGAATGTGGGATTGGTGAGATCCAGCCACGCTGCAGCTGATTGCACGCAGGAATTTTTGCTCCTGCTGAACAAATATGTAGCTATGAAGTTGTAAGGTCGAGCTTTCGTTGTGACTCCATTGAAATCAGTTGGGATGATGGTGAAAGATTTGCACTAAACATGGCAATACGTGATTTACACACAGTCAGTAGGCTCTCTTGCCTCTTAATGCATCACTGACTTACCCCATCACTCTCTTCTAGCCGAGTGCAAACCTCAGAAGATAACTATCCCACAACTTAACTGAGTGTGTGTATGCAAGTGTGTGCATATGTGTGCATGCTCGACTTGTAAGTCCTAAGAGGATGGAGAAATCTGCTGACGGGCCAAGTAGGAAGGCCCCACCCAGATATTAGACCCTTTAACCCATGCATGGAACCATACACAAACGTACGGGTGCATTTGCACAAATTACGCACATGCTCAGGCATGTAAGGACCATCTGCCAGAAGAAGTGTCCAAACATTTTAGAGTTAATCCAGGAAACCCTTTTGACCCTCTTCCCGACGGCTTCCCTCCTTTTCACATCGAGGCTGTTGTTGTGCACAAACTCACTGGTTATTGAGGAGTCCAGCATTTCAATTGTGTTTCCAAAAGGGACTGAACCTCTGCACAGACAAGCCTGCTAATGAGAGTCAAAACAAACTATCCGCCCTCCGTCAGATGCATGTTTTTTGAAGCAGCTACCAGAAAGCAGCAAAAACAAGTGAAGCATTTGTGTAAGTTTTGGTCTGTTTTGAGATCATCTCTGGCTAGACTGCTGGTGAGGGGCTGGGACATTGGCTGAAATTCTGTGTGTGTGTGTTAGAGTGCATTTGTGTGTGAACACATGTGATTGCTCCCAGATGTACAGGACATGGGTGGATCCCCCAGCTGTATGCAGTTCACAGAGAGACAGTAAGATGACAGATGAAATGACACCACTTTCTTCCAACAGCTGTCCGCCTCTCCCTGTTTACGTCAGCTGACTGTTTAAGTGCTGCGCTTGTCTTTGCTCTATTTCATGCTCAGATCTTTTAGTTTTTTAGTGTTTGCGCTCCTCCGTAATGAGCAGGTATTATGTCATATGGATTATGTGTGGCAGCTTGAAAGTAATGACATATAAACTTTATTCTGAGGAAAAGATAAACCTGAGTTATTTACTCTGTCTGCTGTACTCACCTTATACGGGCGCCATGTAAAAACTTTCCGTAGCTCCTGTCATTGCTTTTTCCTATATAAGGTGTACAGCGTTGTTGTTGTAGGTAAGGTACGTAATGTAGGCTTTAAGTAGTTACCTGGCAACTGGTTGGGTTTATTTGTCTTAAAGCTGAATGTCGTTTAAAGCAACAGTTGAATAAGTACTCAGATCCCTTACTTCAGTTAAAATATTCCACTATAGGTCCTGCGACCAAGTCAAAAAACGTCCAAGTCCAAGTGAAGTCTAGAGTTATTTGTGTAAAGGGCAGAGTCAAGTTCCAAGTCTTTTTGGATTTTGTCTGGTCTAAAAAATCTAAGAAAAACATGTGGTGTTGTTTTGAGCTCAAGTCGTGTGAGTTCTTTATATATATATATGTTACAATGCATCATATTATCAGACTTGATCTTGTGTTTAGCATGCAACTAAATCTTCAAAATAACAATAACTCACTTCTAGCTAGCTCTCAAACTATATAGGTGATTCAGAAGTACAAAGTTTCCATCTGAAATGTTGTAACAAAGAGGTTTCCCAAAATGGAAACACTCAAATAAATACAAAAAAAACTGTACTTGAGTAAATGTCCTTAATTCATTTCTCCCGCTGGGTGGATGGAGACAAAGAATCAACAGCATTTGGTATCCTGTAGAGGCTGAGCAGGAGGGAGTGAGAGAGAGGGAGAGATGACCCAGTTCTGTTTCACACAGCGCTGGAGCCAGAGGCGGAGAGACCGTGGAGGCACGTGACGGGTCTGGGCTGGGCCCCGGTCCGCACGGGAAACGCACAATGTCTCGTTTGTTTTAAACGACTGCGCTGTTGGAACCGGTCTCCCTCTTTCCTCTCGCTGTCTGTTGTCTGCCGTGAAATGTGGAAATGATTTTTGCTTTTGGATCTGGGCCAGATTCTTTTGGGAGGGATGAGTTTTTCACCCTTTCTTTCTCTCCGTCCCTATCTCTGTTTCGCCATCTTACAATTCTTCACCTGATTAGTTCCAGTGATCTTTTGATATCAGTGGGGAGTATGCAACTAAGGAGTGGTGTTTGGAGAGAGTGGAGTGGAAGGTGGATGCATGCAAGCAGTGGGATCAAGGGAATGAATATTAAACCATTTTGAGGAGAGGTGAAGAAATCTCGAAGGAGGGACTTTCTTCACACTTTTGAGCTCATATTTATTTAAGCTGTTTAGTTTTAACTCTAGGCTGCTGTAGCTGTGGGGAAATCACCTACTGTGTTTCACAGACACGCCCAGCCTCTGCCGGCCTTAGGGATGATGACCTATTCCATCGATTGTGAATAATAATAAAAGATAGAAAACAGCACACTACAAGGTTAATGAGTCATATTACCTTAAAACACAATACATGTTACTGAAGAACCGATGATCATACAATATGTGCACCAGACAGATTTTTTATTGTCTGTGTCTCTTTGCTTATTCTAGCTCGTTTCAATTACTTTCCACAGCCGCCCCCACACAACTTTAAAAGGTTTTCCAGACCCTTTCCCTATCTCTGCTTTTCTCTATCACACACACACACACACACACACACACACACACACACACACACACACACACACACACACACACCACACACACACCACACACACACACACACACACACACACACACACACACACACACACACACACACACACATACACATATAAATGACAATGCACCTGAGAGCCAGACCGATTAAAATGCCAGGAAAAGACAATGCTTTCTTTATGGTGTGTGTTACTGTCCATTCTGGCATCACTCATAAATTGAGTGAGTCGTAGACAAGCTGCATTTCATTCAGATTAAACCTTTCTGTTTGTTTAAGCCATAAAGTGTTTAACTCACAGTGAATGTTTGAGGTTTTATCAACTTTGGCTTTAGCTCTCTTTTCACAGTTTTGGATAAAATGTTTCACAAATGCTTTGTTTAAAACTAGTTTTAAATCTAAAGGACTTCCACCAATAGAAGTGATTGATAGGTGCTGGAACGGCTATCATATTTGCAATTTAGCATTGTGTTTGTACTCAAAATGGAGAAACAAAGTAAAGTTTCCAACACAATCTCCTGCTTTGGCTTTGTAGATTACCGCACCGGGCCGTGCTTCGCCTCGGTGCACAACCAGATGTGCCAGGGCCAGCTCACAGGCATTGTGTGCACAAAGACTTTGTGCTGCGCCACAGTGGGACGGGCGTGGGGTCACCCCTGCGAGATGTGCCCTGCCCAGCCTCACCCCTGTCGAAGAGGGTTCATACCAAATCACCGCTCCGGGGCGTGCCAAGGTAAAGTCTGTTCCACAGATTCTCTGTCTTTTTTTCTGTTTTCTGTCTGTGTTTTTCTCTGTCACCCTCCCTCCTCTCTCCTTCAGCGAGAAAAGTGCTGCTTCTATCCTTCTATTTGCTCGCTTTAACTCCTTCCCCCTCCTTGTCTGCCTTCACCCCTCTTCCTCTGTCGTTCCCTCATCTCTACCCATCATCCCCTCTCCAGAGGATTAGTTCTAATTGGGTTAAATTGGGGTGGGTGGCAGTGCCTCCCACATGTGTATGGAATGCCCGCAAACACACACTGTGGCGGGACTGTCAGAGTCAGTAACACGGGTCAGTGGCGGTGCCACGTGGGAGAGCTCATTCCTGGTAAGACGGCCCTCTGCCTGTCTGCCTCAGACCCAACAACAGCAGAACCTCTGCAGGGGAGGCGGATCGGAGCCAGAACCCAGAGGAACATGCAGCGCTCTGACTGCATCAGGTCACAGCCTCCTGGGGCTTTCTAGCCTGAGACCCACATTTTTATCTGTCAAATACATTAATTTCATTTAATTTGATCATCAAATCAGTCACAAGTTTTTCCCAAAAGTTCCCAAAACCTAGTGCTCAATTCTCTGATGACTACATATCGACCCTCATGAAACAAATCTTCATACACAAACGTCATTGTGTATGATCACGACTATAACCTTCTGTTTGACGTTAGACCTTTCCTTTCTGTATTTCCATCTCTTCCTTGGTCGACTTGGCTTTAATTTCGGTTCCTCCTGCAGGAGACATTCTTCTCTCTCCCTTTTCTTTTCCCTTGTCACTCTGTTGATCGCAGGAAAGTCAGAGCCAGACTGTTAAAACAGACCCAATTTAAATCCATGCTTATCCAGTCATGTGCAGATTTCTAGGTTCAAATTGCTCTCCTGCCCCTGTACTGAATTGCATTTCCATCTCTGTGTCATTTTCCTTTTTTTGTACATTACAGGAGTCTGTGATCCCATGTGTGTGTGTTAGAGTGTGAAATAATTGTATGCTTTGTATGTACAGATGTGGATGAGTGCCAGGCCATCCCTGGCCTCTGTCAAGGAGGAAACTGTATCAACACAGTGGGATCCTTTGAATGTAAATGCCCCGCTGGGCACAAGTTCAACGAGGTCTCACAGAAATGTGATGGTAAGAATTAACAGCCATCACATTAAACTGCGAAATGTATGACTTTCAGTGTAAACTCGAATTACAGAGTAGGGTGGAATCAATGATTTTAAAAGTTTTTAATGAACAATGTGAAAGTAGAGTTAAAAGCCATATCCGTCTATTTATGGTTAACTTTACCTCAGTTGTGGTATTCTGATTATTACTTTGTGGGGAAAGACCACACATATGCCACTTTGCCCTTCCCTTGAAACAGGTTTAATTAAACCAAAGCAGCACTCAGCTTTCTCCCAGTAATCCTGTTTAATACTTAATTGTGATGCGTAGAAGAGGCTTTCCCCTTGTGTACATGTGTAAAGAGAGACTATGTTAACTCTGAAAGACACACAAATAGCTGAATCAAGGAGCAGTAAAATGCACCATTGCTAAATTCAATGCACTTAGGGGATTTGCTGCTACAACCTTACTTGGTCTGTTATGCCCAGTGGCTTATTGAGGCTAATGTGCTACTTTATGGCCAGAAATAATTGGTGGAAAACTTCTTGACTTTGTATAAGACATTTTAAACAGGTCTACGTTACAGTTCCTTAACAGACTTTGAGCAATGGTGCTAACAGAAGAGCAGCTACAGAGGCCCCTGGATTTAATATCCTGTTACAATGCCTTATTTCCATTGTCATTGCCAACATGTGTTTTAGTCACTCTTGAAGACATTCATATTTCAGTTTAATCGCTTTCCCCAACAGTTAGGATTTCTGTGCAGTTTTTAACAAACAGGAAGCAATCTCAAATGTTTGGAAAAAATACTTGATCGTTTTTTGTCTTCTCCTCCGCTCTCTGCAGATCTGGACGAGTGTTCAAACATCCAAGGTCTTTGTGGTGTAGGTGAATGCTCTAATACTGTTGGCAGCTACATCTGTAAGTGTCCCCAGGGATATTACACATCTTTGGATGGATCCAAGTGTATAGGTGAGCCATCTGTCACGCTAGCTGTCACACCTCTGTAAAGTATAATCAACTTCATTGTATTTGCTTTGGTTCATTGTTACTAGGGTAGATGAAATTTGAGACAAAGAAGTTGAGTGAAAAAGGGGCCGCCTCTTTCTTTTTTCCTTTTTCCACCCCATTTTGGTTCTTCTCCCTTCATGCCTGTGACTAAGAGCAGAAAGAGCTGAAAACAATCCAACGTTCCAGCTGGTAGGATTTAGGTCAGTAGTCACTTGTTTCTAGCTTCACAACAATGAGCTATATTCTCTTTAAACTGAGGAGGACACATGAAGAGTGAGGTAAACTCCTCTGACTTTGATTTTTGACAACACAGTTGGAAGAAGTAGAATATGCTTGTGTCTGTCAGACTGTGTGAACAGTGAAGAGTGTGTATCACACACACATGCACACATAATCACCAAAAAAGGCTGCAAAGCTCTCAAGTTCAGCTCAGTTTGACCAAAAACAGACCTACTTTACGGAGGAATTTGAGTCAGAATAGTCCATTAGATATGCACGCACAGACTCACATGCGCATGCATACACACTTGGATTCACACACAAACATATTATGCAAACACTCGCTCACATTACCCCCCGAGGAGAGGATGTTTGTGAGGAAGGAATGTCTGAGTCTATTGCTCCAGAAAACTGTTGTACCAAACATTTGAGTCTGTTTCCCATGCAGCACAGTCCACTCCGACCCTGACAGGGCCCAACTGTTTTTCTTCCAGCCACTTTGCTTGCCTGTCATCTTGTCGAAGTTAACCAAGCAATCAATGGTATAGGCAGTCAGTTTCTCCATGTGAATGCGCTGGATGGGTTGGGTGTGAAACACGACATGATATATTTATGTTAATGGGGAACCTGAGTGTTAGTCATGCTGCTGCACAGTGCCAGAAACTGCAGGATGTAGGAAAGGTTCTCATAAATAGGAATTGATGACTATTGGAAATGGCTTCCATCGTCCAAATGATGGAAAATCTGAAGCAACTGCTTTTGATTGTTCTCCTGCCAATTTGCTCAACATGCAGACAACACATGCCATATTCCATACATCATGGTTAGTTTAACTTCATGCTGTGCTATTTCCCACAGATTCTCGTGGAGGGTACTGCTACGCTAGCGTGCTGAATGGGCGCTGCGCCAACCAAAACTCGCAGCTGTTGACCAAAATGCAGTGCTGCTGTGATAGTGGACGCTGTTGGTCTGACGGATCCTCCCCGGAAATGTGTCCCTTTCGTGGATCAGGTGGGGCCATTTACCATCACAATGCTTTAAATGTCTTGTTCTCAGCTATCTGTCTCCATGTCTCAACACGGAGCTTACCTCCTATTGGTTTTCGTCATTTTAGAAGAGTACCAGAAACTGTGCATCCAGATACCTGATGGGAACAATGGAGTGGTTCCTGGTCGTGTCCCAGGGAGTCCCGACCTCCCTGCCATCTACCCACTTCCATATCCTGGTCAAAATCCTGGCCAGTTACCCCTGTATCCTGGTCAAAATCCTGGCCAGTTACCCCTGTATCCTGGTCAAAATCCTGGCCAGGTACCCGTGATCCCAGGACAATTCCCATTTCCAGGACAACTACCTTTACAGCCTCGACCAGGTATGGTTCTGCTGTCTTTTGTTTGATTCACATTCACAGCATGTCTTAAAAGTGTATGTGTGCATAGATAGTTTATTATTCTGGTCCTAATCAATGGATGTGCAATACTCAACCTCAAACTGATCTTTTGTTATTGTGTGTTCCAGTTTTGAGCATGCACAACACTCTAGCTATCAAGTATATTTCAATGATGGAAAACATTCACTGCTACTTATAACCTCTGGGTATTGCAGCAAATACATGGATTTAATATGTGCAGAAAAGGATTATCTAAACGAATAGAGTTTATTTTTGGTTAATCTTCCGCAATAACATTTCCTTCAAAACCATTTTGCAAGGCATTTTGGCACAGTTTGGGCATTTCTTAAGAAGATCAAACAACTTAGAACTTTCTTTCCCCAATCAGATTGATATTGATTTGCTTATGGGTACCATTAATTTTGATGTGTTACATCATTCTTTAATACTTTTATAATTACCTAAGCTCCTTCAAAATGAATATATGACGAAAAAAAGCTAAACCAACTAACGCAAACACTTTGGTATGTTTTTTTTGGTAACATTTTTGTGTGAATTATTCTATCAGGATCCGGGATTATCCTCACGCAGAACATCACCAACATGTGTCAGGCCTTCCGTAACCTCTGCCTGAATGGCAGGTGCATCCCCATGCCGAGCATTGGATATCGTTGTGAGTGCAACATGGGCTTCAGGTTGGATGGAAGAGGAGAGTGCTTGGGTAAGTTCCTGATAGAATAGGGAACACGTTTCTAAACTGGAGGAACATGAAGGTGAAGAAGGTTTATGAGCTTTATGTTTTTTCTCCAGATGATGACGAATGTGAGAGAAGCCCATGTGCACACGGAGAGTGTGTGAACACCCCAGGGTCTTACATCTGTCAGTGTCCTGCTGGATTCCAGACTACTGCAACCAGGACAGAGTGCAGAGGTAACACACACACACACACACACACACACACACACACACACACACACACACACACACACACACACACACACACCACACACACACAGACACACACACACACACACGCACAAACACACACACACACACACACACACACACACAAACACACACACACACACACACGCACCACACACACACACACACACACACACAACACACACACACAAACACATGTGCATGCCAAATCACGAAGATGTATGTGTTAACTATACACTCTGTTTGTTTCTGCCAGATCTGGATGAGTGTGTTGCTAACGGTCGCATCTGCAATAACGGCCGCTGTGTGAACACTGTGGGCAGCTTCCATTGTGTCTGCAATGCTGGATTTGAGATTACATCTGACGGCAAAAACTGTCAAGGTCTGTCAAGTACTGACATCACATTTATGGATTTTAGACACGGGTACTTTTCTGTAATTAATACAGTATTATGTAATGGTTACATTTAATGGACCGTGGATTTGTTATGGGTGGTTTTAATACCAATGCCTGTAGGAGGCATGGACGTAATAGACAGCATCTTAAATTATCACGGTATTGCTTTTATGTGTGTATGCCCATTAACTACAAAATATGATCATTTTATATTACTACCAACCTTTTTCCATATTATTCATATGTTAGTTTTATTTATTCTTGCTTACCATGCAGGCATCTATTCGTTTCCATTAATTTGAGTTTGCTGTTAAGTCTTGCAAATCTTGCAAACTTGCTTTAGCCATGGATGATCAAATAGCTTAGGAACTTAATTTATAAATTGCTTCCAAAAGCTGAAAATGTGCTGCGGTATCCCAGATTTCACCAGCTTTCCACTGTGGCTTTAGGAACAGCTATACACACTAGTCAAATCTCTAGTCAGATTATATTATTTACACTTGAGAGTTAGGTTATAGGAATAGAGTTTATTCAAAATCATGACTGTCAAACGTGCTCCAAAATCCATAATTATAGAGCTTGGTGCAAATGTGTTGTGAATAGACCCCACCCCAATTGGGTCTTTAACCACTGCATTTTCATTTGTTTCTATTTATCCACAGACCAGGACGAGTGTCTGATCAGGAACATGTGCCTCAATGGACTGTGTATCAATGATGATGGTAGCTTCAAATGCATCTGCAAACCTGGATTCTTGCTTGACGGCAATGGACGCATGTGTGTAGGTAGGTTGTCAGAAGGAGCCACAGATTATTACCAACACACCTCTAAATTCTAACATACCAGGCTACAACACTAGAAGATACTTTAAGTTATTCAACTTTTGACAAGGCTTGCAGATGGCTACCTCTCTTGCATGTTAGTGGCTCTTAGCAAACAAGCCAAAATCCCCTCTACAAGCTTTGGAAAAGTCCCCCAGTGTCCCGGCAGGCCAGCTGGACATGCATTGTTGGGCCCCGCCTATTTTTAGATCCTAACAGACAGATCTCCTTAAACTTGTTCAATTGCAAAATTGTGAGTCACCTCACAATTGTTTTGGATTGACCATTTTGTCAAATATTATAATGATGAGTGGAACCTTATGCAACAAAGTTTAAATTAATGAAATGTACAGTAAAAGTACAAAACCATTTCCATTGAAAACAAGTATTTTGCAGCCATTGTGCTCCACATGGCTTCAGATACAGACGTTAGATCTCTGAGACACTGACCTGGTTAAGTCATTGCAGAATAAATAAATAGGAGAGTAGGGAGTGGGTGAAGTGTCCTGATGTATGCAGTCATTAATGAAATGTGTAGTCTAAAGGGGCCCCGGGGCCTCATCATTTATATCTACAGTCTGCAGTCTGTTCCACAACACACCCAGACAGAACACACGCACTCTTATTCGTGCATGCAATATCATTGTTTACGCTCATTATGATAATGATTGTAATACGCAGATGGGATCAAGGGGAAAGAAAATAAGGTTTTCTTAGTTGAGGTCATATAACTGAAACTGTGCAGACGTTCAGGCTCAATCTTTGTTTAAATGAATCAAGCACCTGAGGACTTTAATAATGCTTAAGCAGGAAATTGTGAATTTCCTCTTACCATTTATTTTGTAAAGAGAAGTCATTTTTTCTGCATCTGTTTCTAGACATTGATGAGTGTGAGACTCCAGGCATGTGTATGAACGGCCACTGCATCAACACGGAGGGCTCCTTCCGCTGTGAGTGTATGGCTGGGATGGCAGTGGGCCTGGATGGACGGGTCTGTGTTGGTGAGTAAATGTTTTGTTTTCAGGAATGTGTTCATTTCTGAGACCATGGCAAACAGTAAACTTACAGGCAAGACAAACAAACTCCCTCTTTCAGTATCCGGCATGTGTCCTCCTGTTTGAGTCTGGCTGAAACTTCGGGGAAAGTTCTTCTCTTGTGCTGCACAGAAAATATACAAACTTACTTTTCTGTTTTTTAAAACTATTTCTCTGTTTATAAAACTAATTTCTACTACTGGTCATTAGAACAAGCTTTTGTCAAAATTATCCCTCTTTTTTAAGAAACTGATAGCTCATAGTAGCTCAAAGTTTCCTAATTACAGTATAATCACGCTATAATTTACTTTACCAACAGCTTATACAACACACACTCACTATCATTAATGAGCGTTGATGTGTTCCTGTTTCCTCGTGCTCCCATTTCCTGGACTGGCACTAGTAGAACAGACCTGATTATGTTTCTTTCTAAACATTCCTATTTTCCCCCAAATGACACTGTGTATTGTGTTAAATGTTGAAATGCTGTGGTCTGGCCTGGGTGAGTTTTCTTCGTCAGAATGATTTCAGCACAGGAGGGTGCGTCAAATCACTGAAGGAGATCAACAGTTTGTTTTGCCAGTGTTGTTGTTTATTAGAGCTGTGGACTCCCGCCTCAATTTCTCTCTGCTTTGCTTTGCCTCTTTCCAGATCTCTTGCATCATCCTTGTTTCTCACACGCACTTGTCTTTTTCTGTCCGAAACAGATACACATATGCGCAGTTCTTGTTATGGTGGCTACATGCGAGGGCAGTGTGTTAGACCGTTATTTGGAGCTGTTACCAAGTCAGAGTGCTGCTGTGCCAGCATCGAGTACGCCTACGGAGAGCCCTGCCAACCCTGCCCACCAGAAAGCTCTGGTACGGATCTTCAAATCACTCCACCCGTTACACATACAGTATGGAGCCGCCTCCTGGCACCTAACACCCACCTAACACACACACACACACACACACACACACACACACACACACACACACACACACACACACACACACACACACACACACACACACACACACACACACACACACACCACACACACACACACACACACACACACACACACACACACACTGCTTGAGTTTAATTTAAAACACACCTGTCAAAGTCAGGAGGACCAGAACAAAAAGTTTCCTCTTCTCTGATATACCAGCTTGGATTTGATAAACACACACACACACACACACACACACACACACACACACACACACACACACACACACACACACACACACACACACACACACACACACACACACACACACACACACACACACACACACACACACACACACACACACACCATCCAGTGACTTCTTATTAGTCCTGCCAATTAAAGTTTCTATATCAAAAGACGCCAGAGCTGCACCACATTAAAGAGAAGGCTTTTATATACATCCAGGCTAAATGAGAAAGCGTAGAAATGGATAATGACATGGTATTAGATGTGGTGCTTGGAGAATTCTTGGATTTTGGCAAATGTGACATTTTCTCAAACACTTTTAATTCTTCTTTTTGTCAACCTAACTGTGCTGTTTGTGCGTTTTGTTGCAGCTGATTTCCTGGCTCTGTGCCCCAGTGGCCCTGGCATCAGCGGCGATGGAAGAGGTAACCAACGCAATGGTTACATATATAATTACATTTGGTTATTACTCATCTTTGCTTTGATGTTGAACAGTTTATTCTTTGATTTCTCAGATATTAACGAATGTGCCCTCGACCCTGATATCTGCCAGAATGGAGTGTGTGAGAATATGTTGAGGACATACAAATGCACCTGCAATGAAGGCTTTGAAATAGACCTGACGGGCAAAAACTGTGTCGGTAGGTTGACTGCTCTGTAATGTCCTTGTCTTCTATAAAATAATACAGCCCTGATACAGTATGAAGAGCCAGTGTGATATGTGTCATGATGTCTCTCTGTTTCCTCAGATATTGATGAGTGTCTGATGAACCGTCAGCTGTGTGATAACGGTCAGTGCAGGAACACACCGGGCAGTTTCACCTGCCACTGTCCCAAAGGATTCGTCTTTGATCCCGAAACAGACGTCTGCGAGGGTTAGAGACTCAGTCATTCTGTTGTAACTACATCACGGAAAGTGCTGTGTGTTGTATCAGATTTACAATAATCTGCTGTTGTTGTGTTTCCGACAGATGTGGATGAGTGTCTGTCCAACCCCTGTATTAACGGAGACTGTAAGAACAGCCTGGGGTCCTTTGTGTGTTTGTGTTCAACCAGCAGTTCACTGGACAGCACTGGGATGGAGTGTATAGGTAAGGGTTCAAATTGTATATAATTACAGGAAAACTGTACTAAAATCTTTATTTATTTAACATAAAAAAAAATTGTGAATGAAACTCCCAGTTTGGTTAATTCAAAGTCAACATTATTTAACAGTATCAAGTATTACAAATAGTTTGATTTGGTTTTAAAATGAAGTATTTCTCTCCCTTTTTTTGCTCAGTGATCAACTGCATACACAATGTGAGTAACTAGAAAGGTTTGTTTCATATAAACAGAGACTACTAAGAGCACCTGCTGGCTTAAGATAGTCAATAATCGCTGTGAGGTCAACATCAACGGGGCCACACTAAAGTCCCACTGCTGCGCCACACTGGGAGAAGCCTGGAACAGCCCGTGTGCCAAATGTGAAAAAGGTGAGGTGACCTTTTTGCACCATTTTGCACATTTGAGTGTACCGCATTGACTGACAATGTGTTGTGTGTCCTTCTTTTTCAGATCCATTCTGTGGTAAAGGCCTTGCTAGGGTCAAAGGAAATATCTGTGAAGGTAATATCTGCTTTGATTGCTACGTAGACCCAGCAATTCACTTGAGTAATGAGAAACAGTGAACCTGTTGTTGATGTGGCTCTGTTTTCACTGTCAGATGTGGATGAGTGTCGAGTGTTTCCCGGAGTGTGTATCAATGGAAAGTGCATCAACACACCGGGCTCCTTCTTCTGCCAGTGCCCTCCAGGAATGACTGTGGATATCAGCGGCAGGACGTGCATTGGTAGGTTGTGTGTGTGTGTATTACAGTGATACGTGATATGTCATATGAGCAGTAGACACATTGCAGGACGTTCAATGTCAGGCAAGGCAAATTCAAATTGCCATGCTACAAATTCTTTGTACTTTATGCAAACAAAAAACGTGTAATAATAATAATTTCAATTTTTATAGCGCCTTTCAAGAGACCCAAGGACGCTTTACAATGGGAAACAAAACAACAAAATAATAATAAAAAAATAATACTCTCATTTTCCATGACAACGGCGTCTGTTTGCTTGAACATTTACTCAGATTTAGGAGATCTTGGTTGCACTTGGTTTGTGAGTAATATATTGTGAAAGAAAAAACAATGTTGGAAAGTCAGGATTTTTCAGATTTTGTGCAGACCTTGTCTACATGTAGTGGTATTGAAATAATTGTACGGTTTATATGTCATGTGTTTTATTTGATTTGTATTAGTCAATTTATTGAACATGTTAGAAACAAAACAAACAATAATAATTATAATAATGATTATAACAAAGAGAAGCAAAATAAAAAAACGTTCACGGTATAAATAAAACAAGTTTAATAGTTTCCGTCATGTTCAAAAGGGGCAAGAAGAACCTTAAACACGTTTCTGGTCCTACCCCCTCTAGCGTACATTGTTCATGAAAATAAAAGTTTAGGTCATCATCATCAGCATCCGTGATATTTGAGTCATTGTTTTAAACAAATCATTTATTTCATCATGTGTTAGATGTTTAATGAATACCACTTCGTATTCTTATATGAAATGCATCCAACATGATTCCAGACCTGCGTATGGAGCACTGTTATCTCACCCATGAGGACGAGCGCTGTGTGGCTCCCATCTCTGGTAAGCAGCGAGTAGACGCCTGCTGCTGCTCCGTGGGTGTAGCCTGGGGCCCTGAGTGTGACGAGTGTCCCGAGAAAGGGACTCCAGAATACAACCAGCTCTGTCCTCGTGGACCAGGCTTCTCGCACAGGGGCGACTTCATCAACGGCAGACCCTTCCTCAAAGGTACTGTACCCTCCACACACTGCACAACTGCCTGTGGTGTCTCATGAATACTCTATAACTTGCCTTTATCTCTCTGCTCTATACATTAGATTTAAATGAATGCAGAATGATAAACACGCTGTGCTCAAATGGAAGGTGTAGAAACACCATCGGCAGTTTCCGTTGTCGCTGTGATAACGGCTATGCTCTGGACTCTGATGAGAGGAACTGCACTGGTAAGTTGTACTATAGCAATCAGCTGAATACCTATACAGTCAACAACAACAGATTGATAAACTAAAAAAAACTCTGTTCAATACCATTGTAAATGGAATGTAGGACTATTTTACCTACTGTGGTTCTTGAAGATTGTGACGGGCCTACTGCACTATTTTCTGACATTTTAGAAACTAAACATCATATTGATAGTTTGAAAGATTATTGATTTATCTTCCTAAAACATCTTAAAATACCTAAAACATCTCTGAATGAATTAGCTCTTCACCTACAGTCTTGATAATATGTTAAGAGCTGACATACATGTTCCTGATTTTTTGGCCTAGAATATTTGCTTTATATCTCAGCTCCACTGTCTGCTTGATTCTTCACCAGTCACTCTTTCTGAATCCCTCTGCTAACACTAATTACAGTAAAGTGGTGTAAAGCCATGGCCTACTTTGAGCTCTTTCAGTCTAATGGGAGCCTGGCTTCCTTTGACTTGTTGGAGCGGGTCCCTGTAGTCTGGTTAGCTGCATATGTGCTCTGCTTAAATGTGAACACATCATGTTAGATTTAAACGCCAGTTCATTGGCTTTATTCTTAAATCATTTATAGGCTCTTAGTAAGTAAATTATATCTGGGACCTTTTAACCTCATATGAATGAGATCCCAGTCTTTGTGTTAAGTGTTTCACAATGTGGATTACATTGGGGAATCATGGTTTTAGTTCTAGAAGAATCTGCTTGAAGAGCTAAGTCTGTCTAAATCATCTTCCCCTTTAATGTCCTTTTATAGCCTTTCTTTCATGTAGTAAATGATGTCCAAATATTTAATGCTTTGTCTGCCTTACATTATAATATGTATTTTAGCCTCAATGATTTTGCTAGGGATCTTATCAGTCCCTCTCTTCTGTGTTCAATTAATTTGTTACTGAGAGTGAAATCTCATGTTTCACGGCAACAAATAAGGTTTCTTTAATGGTATCCTTCTATTTTAAAAAAGATACAGGGGCTCACTGCATGCGTGAATGTTTGTGCTGTTTTAAACAGATGTTTTTTGATCCTTCCTTTCCTTTAGACATCGACGAGTGCCGCATCTCTGTGGACTTGTGTGGGCAGGGCAGGTGTATAAACACAGCCGGAGATTTTGAATGCGAGTGCTTCGAAGGATACGAAAGTGGCTTTATGATGATGAAAAACTGCATGGGTGAGTGTCGAATCCTCACACAACAACACACTTAAAACACATGCATTGAACCTTCAGCATTAGATTATTTGGTACAGTTACATCCAGAGACAGCTCTCTTTAAAATGAAATCATTTAGTCTTTGAGAACGTGATTGAGAAACTTGGTCAACAATTCTTTCACACACTCAGTGGCAGCATCTTAGACCAGAGGTTTGCCGAACTTTAAAGTTTAAAGTTTAAAGTTCTTCAATTATAGAGCCTCCACACTAACGCTGCTCTAATCACAACCCAGCCCTGTCCTCACACTCCCTCCTGGGCCGTAAACTCTGGATGAGGTGCTTAGGCTAACATGCCGAACGTGGAACTCACTGTTTAGACGGCTGATGTCATCTGAAATATAATATGAGTGCGTGTGTGTGTGTGTGTGTGTGTGTGTGTGTGTGTGTGTGTGTGTGTGTGTGTGTGTGTGTGTGTGTGTGTGTGTGTGTGTGTGTGTGTGTGTGTGTGTGTGTGTGTGTGTGTGTGTGTGTGTGTTTAAGTTGACCTCAAGTGAGAGAGAATGAGAATAGAAAAACTGCTCCATAAAGTCCTAAAAGATAATTGTTCTTTATGACATCTGAGAGACACCATCAGCTGCCCAGCAATTTGTTTTTTTATATCCAGCTCTAAGTCGTAATGTTCTGCCATCTGTGAAAATACTTAATGCTCTATTTCTGTTCTTCCTTTGAGACCATTTGATTAATTCTTGGGAAAAATACTACACACAAAATGGAGAGTCTCAATACTTTTGTTGGCCTAAAGCTGCAATTAGACAAAAATTGGCTGAGAAATTACTTTTAGGCTGTGGCAAAAACTGCAGAGCTGCATTCAGTGGGCTAGCAAAGCTTTTTGTTTGTAAGTGGCAGTTCTTAACATCACTTCCAGCTTTGAAGCTGCTGCTCGTATTTTTTCACTGTGCAATTTTAGAAAACAGCGATAAAATACCTTCTATGTTCTCCCACAGTCTCTCCTAAATTGGAGTCTCACTATTTTGGAAAATATATCTCCTGCTTGTCATCAGACATTGATGACAATTCTTTTTTAACAAAAAATAGCAACTCTTCCAATCTTTTTATGCTGTTCTTCCACAGACATCGATGAGTGTGAGAGGAACCCTCTGCTGTGCCGCGGTGGTGAGTGTCTGAACACGGAGGGCAGCTTCCAGTGTTTGTGCCCCGATGGACACGAGATCGCCCCCGACGGGTCAGCCTGTCTAGGTGAGTGATGATGTCATCAGAGAGGAGATCCGAGCAAACTCTCCAAACTTTTTTCAAATGTTTCTATTTATATCTTAAATAGTCATCTTATTTCCTTAATTGTATTTTGGTACCAGTAGAATCTACAATAATGTAACATTGTGCTTTATTCTGATTTATTTGTTGTGTTTAGTTTGGGTGCATTATCCTTCTTTCTCGCTCTCATTGGATAATTGACAAAGATTCAGCCATCTTGTTGTGTTAACATAGGCAGCTTTTTGCACTTTCTATAAAGTTACATTATAATGAATGTGCAGAATAACAAGCAGGCTCCTTCAGTATCAGTTCAGTTTGGTCAATTAAGCACCTACAGTATTTGACTCCAATTGTGTTTACAGAACTTTCTTCCTACAAAAACAAAAGACTCTTCCCATGCTTTCTATAGTTTCACAGCCCCCAATGTTTAGTTTATAGAGTTGAGCTGATCATGCATTATTCACTGTGTGTCATTCTCATGACCTAATGCAGCGTGTGAAGATTTCAGTCCATGACTTAATACTTAACCACTGCCCTTCACACTCATTTATTTTCTTTATTACCTCCCAAAGTAATAAAAACAATGAAAGCATTACTGAAAACTGCCCTTCTCCCTTCTGAGACAATGGTCTTCATTATCTCTGATGAAGTAACAAGTGCTCAAATGGTGATAATGATAGGGTGGGGCATAGTGTGCTTAATTATGTCAGATTTCTTGTTGGAAATGTCCTATTTATCACCATAAAACACTGAATCCTCTGAACAAATTCAATTATGAAAATAATTGCTGACAGCAATGGATGGGTGCCTGGCTCAATGGCACTTTAAATGGCACTGGATTGAGATGTAGGAGTATGTGACTTACCTAATTTACTCCAGCTACATGTCCACAAACATCATACTGGTGCCCTCAGCTTTAAATGTCGGTTATCCTTATTGATTTTAAAACGATATGTAAGACAATTGCATTGTTTTTTCACAGATATCAATGAATGTGACTTGAGTGACAGGCTGTGCAGGAACGGACAATGTGTCAATATGATCGGCCGCTACCAGTGCACCTGTGACACTGGATACAAATCCACCGAGAACAGAGTGGAGTGTGTTGGTGGGTATCGAACATTTCACTGATTATTTCCTTCTGTTGTCATTGTGGTTATCTGAAGAATAAATGTTAGCGGTATGTTACAGCCTGTGTTTTTCTGCCTCTCAGACATCGACGAGTGTACGATTGAGAATGGTGGCTGTGAGACGTTCTGCACCAACTCAGAGGGGAGCTATGAGTGCAGCTGCCACAGTGGATACGCCCTGATGCCCGATCTGAGAACCTGCACTGGTGAGTAGCTTCATATCCGTCTGTCACACTTAAACTTTGTTGACTTTGACATTTAGTTTTACCACATTTTACTAAAGAAAACTGCCTTACAGTGATAGGTTTGACTTGTCAGAACATTTTCCAAAGATTGCACATGTGGTAGAAGAGAAGTTACTCAAAGGCTGGGTTCAGAGAGCGCTGATTTAAGAGCAGGAACAAAGAGAGAGAATCACTGCTGTGATTTGACTGGCACATGTTCAAAGAAAGCAAACGTTGGATGGCAGAGAAAAAAGGTTAGGTTAAATCTGATGATTGATTTGTTGTTAGGTCCAAAATGCTGTCAAATAATGGTCGATAGTGCTTATTAATCAATTCATGATATTTCTTCCTCGTAGGGTAGTCAAGTTGTATCTTTACATTAGGCTTTCCTGTATGTATTTACCGACTCCTGTGATGCATATTCCTTTAATTACCAGAGATAAATTCAGATATAGATCAAAGCAGCACATGGGTATTTTCAGTGTAGTTTGTGCAAAAGAAGAGCCTAAAAATACTTTACCATTGCTCAGCATAATGTGACAAAGTAAACATTCTTATATTGTATTGTTCGGTATTCTGCTAAACACTCTCTGCTATATAACATATGCAATATTAACAATAATGTTCAATAATAACGTGCAATTACGTATCTGCCACTACTTTTTTGCACTATTCAATACTGCTCGTCAATGTACAGTTCTTTACAGTTTTTTATATACATTTTTTGACCGTCTATGTTTCTTGTAGCTATTCAATTCACTTTTTTTTACTGCACTGTTAGTGTACAGTTTTATTATTATGGTGCTGTGTTTATTGTATCTTTGTTACTCTGGCACAATAATTTCCTTCGGGATAAATAAAGTCCTAGCATTGTTTTATATAATCGTAATGTGTTCTTTTTGAAATAATTGTATGGTAAATAATACATCAACTTTCAATCCTGGATAAATACTACTAAGAGCTTTTTTCTTTTGTCCTCTGCACTTTGTCTGCTCTCATTTCTCTTTACTTTTTTTTGCCTCTCCCTTTTCAACCTCCAGATATTGATGAGTGTGAGGAGAGCCCAGACATCTGTGATGGAGGCCAGTGTACCAACACCCCAGGGACGTACCAGTGTCTGTGCTATGACGGGTTCATGTCATCTGAGGATATGAAGACCTGCCTGGGTAATGGATGCACATTTTTGTTCAAAAGACTGCAGCAGTATACCTGTCTGCAGCTCAGCCCTTATAAGATCCAGAGGGTTTTCTGAGATATACTACAAAAACTTATTTGAAAGGTTACCCAAGACATGAGTCATGAGAACAAGACTTAATAATAATAATAATAATAATAGCTTGGATTTATATAGCGCCTTTCATGAGACCCAAGGTCGCTTTACAAAGAAGAACAGAGCAAAACAAACTTAACAAAAACAAAAGGCAGTCAGACACCCAGTCAGACAGACAAAACAAAACAACACATAATGACTCAGATATATGAGTGTGTGTGTGAGAGAGAAAAGTGTTATGTTGTTGTTGTTGATTTACAAGACAGTGAACATTGTGTTAGTAGTAGGGATGGTACTACTACTTTTATCGATACCGCTTATCGATCCGGTCCTTTAACGGTAATCTTATCGGTTCTTTTGGAGAAAAAAAAGGTAACTAAACAAATTGTAAACAAAATGAACATTGCTTTTTATTTAAATTAAATAAATAATATTTCACATCAAAAGAAACAACAGTGTATTCAAAATCGTATTTAACAAATCGTAATAAATAATCTGATGACAGAATTGTAAACAGAATAGCTGAAACTTTAACAAAAATAAATAACTCAGTTACCTCTAATCATTAACCCATGTTTGTATAATTGAGTTAACTCTGTGTGCTGGTGCTAGCATACATAACATACCTGACGTGGAAACGTTACTCGTGGATGGGGCTACAGCGCTACTAGAAAGACAGTCGAAAACGGTGCATTTCTCCGTCTTAATGTGGTGCACTTTTGCAAGATGTTTAGACAAATTGCTCGTGTTACCGCCCTTACCTGCTAAACTCTTATTGCACTTTTGGTAACGAGCATTGTCCACATCGAGACGGGTAAAGTTGAACCACACCTTGGAGTGCTTAGTTCTCTCTGCCATCTCCGCCGTGTGTGTGTGTGTGTGTGTGTGTGTGTGTGTGTGTGTGTGTGTGTGTGTGTGTGTGTGTGTGTGTGTGTGTGTGTGTGTGTGTGTGTGTGTGTGTGTGTGGTGTGTGGTGTGTGTGTGTGTGTGTGTGTGTGTGTGTGTGTGTGTGTGTGTGTGTGTGTGTGTGTGTGTGTGTGTTGCATGCATGTAGCAGCTGCGTGTGTGTAACTGCCCCGCCCCCTCGCACACAGACGGGAGAGAGAGATCTCTCGTCTGGATTGGAAAGATCGAAAATACATCATAGACTAATTTTTTTGTCTTTTTGCATGTTAGAAACAGAGTTGGCGACACTAAGACTGCAATATAATGTTTATTTAGCAATAATACATATATCTTTTTAAATGTCTCCAGTAACGATAAAAAGACCGATAACGTCGGAGTTTAACGGTACCACGGTCTTTAATAATTCAGCCCCGGGGCCCCTTTAATACCGGGGCTCGTTACCCATCCCTAGTTAGTAGGGTTGAGCAGGGAGGAATTCTTGACATTTAGGAGTCTGGTTCCACTGAGTGAGAAAACAAAAACCTGCCATCTATGATGTAAGGACTTCTAAACGGGTCTGCACAAACACATCCTCTCTTATTGGTGTATTTATTGAAAGTAAATGCATTTTAAAGCCTTAATATATTTCATGATGTAATTCTTTTGTGACTCATGTGCATACATCACAGCTTAACCAAAACCTGTTTGGCAGGCCTGAACCAACAAAAGATAATTCATTGCCATGAACTTTTCCCTTTTTGTTTTTATATTCAGCAATTTAAAATTCTTGCTCTGTCTCTGAACCAATCTTATTTTCCCTCCCCTGTCTAGATGTGGATGAGTGTGAGCTGAATCCAGACATCTGCCTGAGTGGGAACTGTGAGAACGCGAAGGGATCCTTCATCTGCCACTGTGACCCGGGATACTCGGTCCGCAAGGGAACCACAGGCTGCACAGGTTAGCGAAACAAATGCACATTTAAGTATTCCTACCCGTGTGTGAAGTGAAAGCAAGCCAAATAGAAGGGTGAGAAATTAGAGGATGTAAGGTGATTGTCTGGCTAACCACAGCTCTTAAATTAATCATCTTCATTCGAGAGCTCCTGTGTGACTTGACGACAAACATGTTCACGCACACTCACATGCATCAGCTTCAGGAGCAGGAGCAGTGAGATCACTATCTTGTGTCCGAAGCATGCATCACATTGCATCTTTGTTTATTCTTAAGTTGCCCCTTCATTAAGTTCAGTTAAACATTACGTGATTGTTGGAAGAGTTTTGCAGCACGTAATCCCTGGAAAGGCCTCCAGAACACATAAATACAAAGTCCTTACGGCTGGTAGAGTCTTTGCTAGTTTGGACTTACTCCTCGTTCAGTCAGAGTTAAGTCTGATTTACATGCTCACTTAAAAGTTTGGAGAACTTGGTCAGTGACCTTATCTGGCCTCGTCGCCATGATGGAAATGAGTCAGCAGAAGCACGTCTTCCTTCAGACGCAAATAAACAGATCTGTCTGAAGTATGATTCAAACTCACTCCCTCACTCGCACACACTCTTGCTCATTCTAATCCCATTAAAATCACCATACAGGGTTTTCCTTGTTTTGAGAAAGCTGGTGCTGCAGCTACTTCTGATTCACAGGTTTGGAATTTCAGCCCCAAAATACCAAAGAATCAAGACACTAATTCCTCACAGGCAGGCAGGATGTCTTGTTTTAGACAAGGAAACAAACATGCTACACTTTTTGGAGAGAATCCCCCTCCGGTATGTTCTAACAAAAATGCAAAATGAATTGGTTGACATTGTCAGTATGCCCTATGGGGCGAGGCTGGCATGCATCTTCCTGTGTGAGTTTTAATGAGGCCAGTCCTGATCCAGCTGATGATGAGTCTCCCATAAGAATGGTTTCCCTTTTTTAATCCAAAACCCTGAGTGGGCAGGGTGTGGGTATTTGTTTGTACATTTGAGTACTTTAGTGCCTTGCGTGTGTACTGAAATGTTAGCACTGGGTGGAGATGTTCTGGGGGAGTTTACAGGGCTAGAGAGGATCAGGGTTAAGGCTTTAAGCATCATGACAAAACTGTGCAAAAATGTTAGCAACTAAAGGAAGGCTATGCAACAAAAAAAGGCAATAAAATACAACTTTATTAAACTCAACACAGTCAGGGGGTTTTATTCTACAGTCTTAATTAGTCTGGTATGATCAGTAGTTTATGGTGGCTAATGTTAGCCGTCTATATTGTTGTTTAAATGACATTTCTGAGTTAGCTTGCTAACTAAATGACCCTTCTCTACTCGTAATATAGTTACACTGCTTATAAGTTGTACAATTATCTCTTAATTGTGTTGTGGCTACAGATGTATTCAAAAGTGACACAATCTCATATGATGCTTGTTTATAAAAAGACAAAAGGAGAAGATGAAAACGGTGGATATTCAAGATGCTTAATATTACTTGGATCGGCAGATATTTAGGTTTGTAGCTATGTCTTGGGTTGTCAAGAAGGCACCAATCCTAGCAGGCATAAGACATATCCTTGCAAAGAAACTCAATGTGCTTTACATTTGAAAGAAACATGACCACACATGATCTGATATAAAACCTGCCTATCCCATTGCTACTACCGAGACAGGCAGGCAGACAAAGATGCAAACAGACAGGCAATCAGGCAGGTATGCAAACTAGGAGACAGTTGGACAGCCAGGTAGGCAGATGTGTAATTCTCTGCTATCCCTTTTTATCCCTTTTTAATTTGTTGCTCTTCATCTGTCAAACATTAGTCCTAGTTAAACCAAGCCTCCTCTTTGACACCAGCTGTAACAGCTGACATGCTTCTCGCATGCAACAACCTCTGTTTGCATTTTACATTTCCACAAGAGAACGTGTGTGTGTGTGTTTGGTGCTCTCTCTGTCATCAAAGGCTTGAAGGAAATGGTGTTTAATTCCATCTGTAATTCAGGGAGATTCGTTTGCTCCAAACCCTTACATTAAGGCCTGTCATCATCTGTAGAGTAAATATACCGTACCCTCTCCTCAGGAAGACTGTAAACCAGCAGCATTAATCTCTAATTGACAGTGTTTTGAATTACTACCCTCACAAAGACAGACACACTCAGAGGAGTGTATCTCACTGGCTGATAAGTCCTCACATCTTGATCGAGTTCATAGCATAGATTCCCTTGATGTACAGGAACACACACACATGCATACACACACAGTAGTGATATGCAGACCCACTCTTTTCACAGTATGTGTTATTTTGAGTTGATACATGGAAAACTATAAAAAAACGTCATATTTTTTATAATATCACGTCCGTTTCTCTGTGACACTCGATATGATACCTGCTAGCTCTGCCTATTCCATAAAACGTATCTTAAATGCAGTACCGGTCATAATGTACAACTTCAGACATGAGCGACTTCACTAATAGCAGGCATTATAGCAAGTGGGAAAAATTGAGAATCCATGACCCCTCGAACAGGTTCACCTGGTCCAGCCACTAAAAAGATTTGTTTGAAAAGATTTGTTTTTACATTTTTGTACATCACTATATCAAAGCTGTAACACTCAGTCAGGCTCAGGGCCAGGTATTGTTTGGGTCGGTGTTTCTCAGGGTTGTTTTGGCTCTTATGAGCAGTTCTCATTGTTGTAGCAACATACAGGCTTTTTCCATTGGGCCATGTAGCCAATCGTGTCAGAACTGCCTGAGGAACATGAGCCTCATTCACAGCATCTTATCAGTGCCAGCTGCTTCATGGAGATGCCTATTGCTTATACTCTACAGTCTACAGGATGTCAACAGCTTTTTTGGCAGGACAGAATTTAATAGTAGCCAATTTAATTGTTCTCATTAATTGCTGTTCATTTATTAGAATCCAAATCCACATACAATGGGTTATCAAATTTGGGGAGGTATTTTTATAACCACATTATCGACTAAGTACCCCGATATTTTCTCCATTGGCAGAGTTTTGATGTAATTATAATGACTTTATCTTCAAGGAGTGTTTATTTGTAAAGTTGGCACATTACTTCATCGCATTTTTATAGAAATGATATTTGAGTAAGATTATATGTCCAAACTTGGGATGGTGAGCAAACCAAACATGAGCATTAAAAGAGGGCTGTTAAAAAAGCCTCATGTGAGAGGTGTGGTGTCTGTGTGCAAAAATGGAAATTTTTGCCTACAAAAATCTCAGAAATTCTAGTTTTGACAGAATAAGACCTTGGCGTTGGTATATTGTTCTCCCTCCTGGCCTTTCTCTCTGGACACACTTGCACAATGAAAATCCAGGGATTGGGTGTGCTCATTAAACCTCTGCAGGAAGGCTATTAGTATCAGAGATCATGAGAATGTGCCCAGTGCCTTCTGCTCTGAAATACATGGATGAAGACAGTGACCCAGAAAGACTTAGTCCTGTCGTCTCCTGCTGCTGTCTCTATGTGATTCAAACCAAGCATCAACTCGCTCCACAATGCCAAGAACCCCACTGGAATGAGAATGCAGACCCAAATCATCAGACCATCAGAGCAGTGTCTACAAGAATTTCTCTTTACATGGCTTCTCCTTTGTTTCCCCTCAGACGTCAATGAGTGTGAGATCGGAGCCCATAACTGTGACAGACAAGCTACCTGCACCAACACAGCTGGCGGCTTCAAATGCCACTGTGCTCCAGGATGGATTGGTAATGGCGTCAAATGTACAGGTATGGCCGACACTCAATGGGTCCATTGAAATCGTTTTTTTATATGTAGTGGTTTCCCTCATGATGCATAATAGATGACAACTCAACAACCCTTTTGAACTATTGTGTAGAGAATTCCACAGTTTCCAAGATGCACGTCTTCTTTATAATCTTTAGTATATCAAGGTGAGGAAAAACGTGTTTGTAAATAAATGTCTCATTCAACAAACAAACATAAGGGGGGTTTAAGATTTGCTTAAAATTGGTCTGACATAACCAAAACCATCAATGAAGTGATCATATTCACAAGTAGCCAAAGTCTAATTATTAAGTATTGTGCTACATTTGAATATACATGTGTATTTGTTGTTCCCCCTACAAATGCGCTATTTACCCCTGTCAGGGTTTGTTAAAAACGACAGTGCCCAGCTGTTTTAGGAAATATCAAGCCGACAAAAATCTTTATTTCTGAGCTATTTTATTATTATGTCGTCAGTGGCAATGATTTAGCAATTAATTTATGAGTGCCACAAAATGGTTGAGAAGTAATAATGTTCTATAGATGCATTTGTTTTTGGTCATTGAATGGGTTTTGTAAACAGTAAGAAAATATCCCAATGCTTATCCTTTCCTCAACAATTTGAGTTGTATCTATGTTGATCATGTGATGGGACGTTGTCGTGTTTCAGACCTGGACGAGTGCTCCAACGGGACACACATGTGCAACAACAACGCTGAATGTCTCAACACCATGGGCTCATATCGCTGTGCATGCAAGGAGGGATTCTCTGGAGATGGATTCTACTGCTCAGGTCACACGCAAAACCACATTTTTTGTTTTTTAAAAGATGTGCATTGTGTGTTTACGGCCTGTGTGTTTGATCACCACTACAGACAGTGATGAGTGTGCAGACAACGGCAACCTGTGTGAGAGCGGCCACTGTCTGAACCTCCCCGGAGGATACCGCTGTGAATGTGACATGGGCTTCATACCCACTCCTGACCAGAAGTCCTGCGAGGGTAAGACAAAACGACACTGCTAGACTATCTGAGTTCCAGACATCGCAATTGGTGCCTACATCCTAAATTATGATTTAATCTGGTCTGGTGTTACTCTGGTGAATGACTGTCTGTTTTTCTGTCTGGGAAACAAACAGATGCCTTCAATGGGACTCATGAGATAGTATTTTGGAAATGGGAAGCACACAATAAACCCAAGACTTAAATGGCTTTAGTAGTGAGAACATTTCTAAAAGACTGACAACAACAATGGATTTACAATATTTGCCTTCTTCCTTTTTCAAATGTGGCTTTCTTCAGTGCCTACATTAGCAAAAAATGTATCAGTCAGTCAAAAACATTTTTGGTTTCATAATTGGTTTTCATTTCAGGCTTATGAAAACCTTTGCTGCCAACATTTTCTTGTCAGATAACATTATGGTAACTGCCATTGCAATTACACCTCATAGCACATTTATATACAGTAACAGGATTTATAATCATAGTCTATCTTGGCTCAGTCTTCTTAATACTATAGACACAAGGATAAGTTAGCTCAGACTTTAAAGGTCACCTATTATGCAAAATCCACTTTTTCATGTCTGTTATACATAAACATGTTTCCCCTCTGTGTAAAGAGATTCTGAAAGTTTCAGGAAAAAAGATTCGCTCACTTTTTGTCCTGATCCATTTATATAAAAACCTGTCTGAAAATGAGCTGATCAGATTTTGGCCACTTTATGATGTCATAACGATTTTTTGGCTTGTGTAACCATTAGCCAATCACCAACCAAGGTAACACCACCCCACCCCCCCCTTATCACCTGAATCTCCTCCTAGAGCACCATTGTGTTCTTTTTAACCAAATATCTCTCAGAGGGGCGTGGGGAGTGGCTCCTTATTTTCATCTAAAGTAACAGACAGAGAATCAGCCCTTTTGAAACAGGGCTGAAACAGAGGGGTTTATGGGATGCTACAATGCATGATCTGTTTGGTATTTTGAGCCAAACACTTCAGAGACATGTTTTGTACATATCTGAGACCTATAATATATTGATGAAAAACAGTATAATAGGGGACCTTTAATATTGTCTTGAGATATTTCAACTTTCTTATTCTTTACGCTAGTGTTGTGTTTTCCTGAGACAGAAAAACTATGAACTGGGTATAAGGAACTCTATTTTTCCCCATTTCCTCCACTCATTGAATCAAACATTTACTATCATTTAAGAAAGTATAGACGTTGTAAAGACTTACATTACTACCATTACTCATAATGGAGTGGAACCAGGTCATATAGTCTGAATTGTATGAAAATGCCTGTCATTTTCACGGTTGAAATGATATGTGTTGTGTAGACTGGTCTGTAAACCAAACAAAGTTTTTGTTTGAGACAAAGCTCCAGGCACTTTTCAGGCATTTCTCTTGGTTCATGACCTTGATAATTTGCTTACATTAGATCCAGGTTTGCCTATTTAGGTACATCTTTTCAGGGATATTATAACTGAATAGAATAAAATATCGAGGTGATTACATGTTCACCAAAATAGCTGAGGAGGGATCTTTTCCAAAATCCTGAGCTGAGCTTCTGTAGAGTCTTTCATGCCAAGTAGCGTGTGTGAGTCATGCCTCCACTGATAAGACATTGCTGGATTCAATTGAACGAGCAGACTGACCTCCTTGTGCTGATGTGTCAAACATCCTGAAATAACCTGTCCTGTCCTCCCTGCCTCAACTCAGGCAGGTCCGGACAGTAATGACTTATGCAGAGTCTAATGATGTGGAAGAGCAGAATTTCATAACCTTGGCTGCTGCTCTGATAGTGTATGTGTGCGTCTGTCTGGATATGTCTGGGCATTTTTTTTGCCCCAGATTTGTCATTCTTCAGCAGAGGTGAGCGGCCTTCACTTCCTATTGCTGGCTGCCAATTTTCCACCATGATCCCATGATCCTCTAATCCCTCACAGCTGGGCCTCTCTCTCTCTCTCTCTCTCTCTCTCTCTCTCTCTCTCTCTCTCTCTCTCTCTCTCTCTCTCTCTCTCTCTCTCTCTCTCTCTCTCTTTATCACTTTTTCTTTCTCTGTTTTCTTTTACAGACATAGATGAATGTACCTTTGCTGACATCTGTGTCAATGGACGCTGCCAGAATATTCCAGGACTGTTCAGATGTGATTGTAGTCTTGGCTATGAACTGGACAGGAGTGGAGGCAACTGCACAGGTAAGACACCACTCCCACCGCCGGCACAATGAAGCTCAGTTTATGCCCCAACAAGCTATGGAGATTTGAATGGTTGAAAAATAAGTGGAGCAACACAAGTGAACAGCTCTCATCTCCCATGGTATACAGACTCCTGCTCCTCTTCGTGTTACTGACAGCGATTGAAGACTCTCAGATATAATTGTTGAAACTGTTTCTTTGTCTTTCTATCTCAGACATCAATGAATGTGCAGACCCGACCATCTGCATTAATGGAGTCTGTGTCAACATCCCTGGAAGTTACCTCTGTAACTGTCCTGCAGACTTTGAGCTCAACCCCACCCGGGTGGGCTGTGTAGGTTAGACTCAACAAGTTCTCTCTACACACATTGTTGGTGTTGGATTTCAACGTATCATTCAACTAATTCTAAAGTAGGGCAATACACAATGTCTATTCCTGAACACCTGTGTGTGTGTGTGTGTGTGTGTGTGTGTGTGTGTGTGTGTGTGTGTGTGTGTGTGTGTGTGTGTGTGTGTGTGTGTGTGTGTGTGTGTGTGTGTGTGTGTGTGTGTGTGTGTGTGTGTGTGTGTGTGTGTGTGTGTGTGTGTGTGTGTGTGTGTGTGTGTGTCACAGACACTCGTTCTGGAAGCTGCTACCTGGATGTGCGTTCCCGTGGAGATGCTTCAGAGAGCTTGGACTGCTCCAATGAGATTGGAGTTGGTGTTTCCAAAGCGTCCTGCTGCTGCTCTCTGGGTCAGGGCTGGGGGAACCCGTGTGAATCCTGCCCCGCTCTCAACTCAAGTGAGTCAACCCATCATTATTTAGACTTTGCCTGCTTTATGTATGTTCATTTTTATGTTTCAGTTCAAGCCAAGATATACAGAGGTGCCACTGCAAAGATATATAGATACTGATCCCTCCCTCCCTGTGGGAACATGATTATCTTATTTGACACTTTACAAATGAGCCTAAACACCCTAATATAATGTTTATTGTAATTTCAGACTACATTGATAACTTAAAAAAAGGTCTCTCTTACGGCATGTATTCGTTAATGACTCTCAAAACTACAGTATCTTTGGACTATCTCTTTTATTGTTTGATAACTTGTGCAATATAGACGTGATTATATTTCAACCAATCCAACTCAACCACGGAACTCTTAATACACTGACTTATATTTAAACAAATGTAATGGTTCTATTGAATGACCAAATTGTTGTTGTTCGATTGTGTTTTTTTTTCCTTGAGACCAACATGTTTTATTCTCATTGTTTATTCTCCCAACTTTGTCCTCCATCACTTGATATGTAGAGATGAGAGTAGACTTTTGACTACAAAGTGAGGAGGGATGTAAACGCTAAATGGATTTTAAATGTCAGTATCGGGAAAAGTCATTTCAGGGTTTACTGGATTCAACAATCCTGTCAAACCCTTCTACAAGTTGTTTTGTACCATGGTTCGAGTTAGCTGCGAACATTTGGCTACATGCTGCCTGCTCCTAACATGCAAAGAGTGTGTGTTTGCTGTAATTGTTGTTACTGGTAAAGATGAGACAGCTTTGTACAACTTACTAGAAATTACCAACAGATGTTTTAAAACATTACAAGGAATGACTCATCCCTTGCAGCTTGAGGAAATGCTTGCTTATATGACAAGAACAAAACTTTCTCTTTGTGCTTTGTAATTCTAAGAAGCCGCAGTCATGTCAGGTCCACTGTGATCTGAGATCGCTGATCAGAAAAAGCACAACAGAGAGAGACTTAACTCAACATCTCACCATCAGCAAAACGTTACTGTCAAATCCTGAAGTGAAACCACCTTGACTGTGGGTTTTCTGTTGTGTCATTGTTGCTTGTTAATGTGTTGTGTTGCTGTGTTACAGCTGAGTACAAGACGCTGTGTCCTGGAGGAGAAGGCTTCAGACCAAACCCCATCACTGTCATCTTGGAAGGTCAGACAGCACACATGCTATCATGGCTGCAGTTGATTAGTCAAAGGAATGACTTCCCATGTCTTTTCTTCATCACTTTTCCTTGAAAACGTAATGAGGTCCAGGATTTGTGTTAAATTAGAAAGAAGGAAAACAACAGTGAAAAGAGAATCTGACTCCACATGTCAATTTACCCTAACCCTCTAAACTTGGATGTTTAAGCAACTTCATTTCACAAATAGAAAATGAGCACACTGAAAACCTAATGCTCCACAATTCAAGTAGCAGAAACAGAATCAAACCTCCCAAGAAGGAGGTTTTCAAGTCAACTTAAATGCTACTGTTGTGCATTTTCTCCTGTCCTTTATGGTGCAGTGAACCCTATGCTAAAGGAGATAAGAAAGGAGGCATTGTGCACACCTACAGACACTCACACTGATAACACACATCCTCCCACCCACAATGCCCACTGACTTTTACCTTTTTCTCCTCTGGCAGACATCAATGAGTGCCAGGAGCTGCCAGGCTTGTGCCAGGGAGGACAGTGCATCAACACCTTTGGCAGCTTCCAGTGCGAGTGCCAGAAAGGATACAGTCTCAACGCTGACACCAGAGTCTGTGAAGGTATGGGCAACCCCACCAACACATGAACACACAGGTGACCTATTCCTCTCTAGCTCTTGCCTTGGGAGGTTTCAGTTGGAAGGAAATTGAGTTCAGCCGTCAAGGCCTTCGTTCAGCGAGGACACATGGAGAGGGAGGAAAAAGCACTGAGAGCAGAAAGACGAGGAAGCGTTGGACCCTCTTATCCTGCATACGACACAGCAGCTCATTTTGGCTCAATATGTCTCTGCTCTAGTTCCCCGTCTGCTGCTAACCCGGCAAAGCTCAGTGTGGATGATGAGGCAGCTGAACGCCTAACTATGTCCAGAGGAGCGAGGCTCTGATGTGGTCAGCCTTCTCCTCAGGGGAGAACACTGAGTCCCCCGAAGACAGGCCAGAGATGACGGAGGGAGGGAGAGATGAAGCAATAGAAGATAGGGGGAGAAAAGAGATAAATGAGAAGGGTGTTTAGAAAAGGGAAACAGGAACAAAGAGAGGAGAGGAGGGGGTAAGGGTTAGACAATGACATGTGGCTGGCGGCATTTTAATTAGCGTGTGTTTGTTGGCCATGAGAACAAAAGCGGGCGTCTGCGCTATAAAGTCCCAGACTGCACATCCACCATGTCCTCAGCTGCTAGCTGGCCAGGGAGGAACAAGAAATGTGTTTTCTGTCTGGCAGAAATGTTATTGGAGAATACATTTAGGATAGAGAAAGTATATTTAGTATTTTGTTTTTAGCTGTAGTGGCTGCGATGTTGGATGTACAGTATTTTCACAAAAGATGATGATTATATTGGGTTTTTGTACAGACAATAAAAACACAAAAAATATGATCAGAATATCTTTGCAGATAAGTAGATCATCCATGTATTAAATCAGTGTCTTGGAATACTCCTTTTTGCACCTTTCCACCTTAATTTAGATTACATGTCATCCTACTGTATCAAGTGTATTTCTTTTATTTATTCATTTAACATGATTGTATATATGCCACATTTAGGCAGGAGGCTAGTTTACATCTGTCGGCCTGAGCCAGGTGTGACGTTGGCAGCCTAAAATCAAAGAACAAGTTCAAAACAATAAATATGACGTAAGGTAAATCCATTACGTTATAAGGGAAACACAGACAAACGTTAAGAAGAACATAAACATGGGCAGCAGTAAAAGCAGAGTAAGTGACGGTTAAACAAATCAACAATTACAAAGGAGTTAAGTCATACGTTTTAAATAAGTAACATAGGCACCTCAACTAAACACATTTTCATCAGACTATGTTTTCCTCAAAACAATGAACTGCTTCTTTCTCTTTTTCTCTGTGTGCAGATGTTGATGAGTGTGAACGACCAGGCATCTGCGGCCCAGGCCAGTGCTACAACACCATCGGGAACTATACCTGTATGTGCCCTGTGGACTACATGCAGGTCAATGGAGGGAACAACTGCATGGGTAGGTCTGCACATGCACTATCATGACGTTATCAATCAGCAAAATGGTGGGGACATGCAGTCATGCAGTGACTTTTTCTTTCTTATTGACACACAGACATAAGGAAGAGCTACTGCTACAGGAACTTTTACTCTTACAACGAAACTTGTGATGGAGAGCTGACCTATAACATGACCAAAAAGATGTGCTGCTGCTCCTACAACATTGGCCGCGCATGGAATAAACCCTGTGAACAGTGTCCCGTGCCCAGTACCGGTGAGGTCTCAAACACGTATGTGCAGAAAGTTTAAGCAGGGTTCCCGTGCTAAAACTTAAAATGTATTTAATTTGTTGTTCTAAAAATAAGGCCTTAATTACTTGACTCCAATCCAATTAAATTGAGTCGCCAAGAGGCTAAACTTGGCTTTAGACTATGACATGTTTTCAAGAAGAAAGCCCATACTTAAGTCGAAATGTTGACGATGCTTAATAAACAAAATAAAAACAACAATAACTTAGGACCAAACGGTCAACAGAAAAAGTATCAGCGCACCCTCACCAACCCGGCCTGCAACAGGTGACCTAAACACACAAACCACACCCATGTGACAATTGCCGGAAGTGCTCAACAAATACAAATAAAAGTTATGTAAAGAAATAATAATCCTCCTAAATTACTATTAAAATGTATCTTATAAATGCCACAAAAAAGAAATCGTATCTATTTTTTTAATAATTTACCGAATGCCTCTCCCCCTTAATGTTACAAAGATCTGGAAAGTGAAACACATTATTTTTGTTTTCAGTAGATCATCTTACTTTTTCATTGGTTCAAAAAGTCTTGAATTTGATTCTGAATAGTATAAAAAGAAATTTAGAAAATGTAGCTGTAGGAGCCCTGATAAGATACTTAAAGTGAGCGTTAATAACCTAAAGTCTTATGTCCAATCAGATGCGTTTGCGATCCTGTGCGGCAGTGAGAGACCAGGATATTACATCGACATCACCACTGGACGGGTCATTGGTAAGATCTGCCCATCAAAGGTTTTTGTGATGAAAAGGAAGGTTTGTTTTGTTCTCACCTCGTCCCTTGTTTCTCCCTCATTTGCTAGATATTGATGAGTGCAGGGAGATCCAAGGAGTGTGTGAGAACGGCGTGTGCATCAACATGATCGGCAGCTTCAGGTGTGAGTGCCCCATCGGCTTCATCTACAACGACAAGCTGTTGATTTGTGAAGGTAAGGCCTTCTTTACATTTAGGTTAGACCGAAAGTGATGACAAATGTAAAATCTAGTGAATTCATCTCAGGTTTTTAATAAAAGACAGTCTCTTTATAATTACAGTGATGACAAAGTTCTCAGATCCTTAACCTTAGAAAAATTACTAATACCACAGTGGAACTTTGCATTGTTTAGTAAAATATGAAAGTATTATCAGCATAATCTACATACAGTATAGTAAGTAAGTACTTATATAAAGCCGTATGCAGTGAACTGTATCTTGTCATTGTTTTGCTTTTATATATGCTGCATTAATGTGTAGATTGCTTTTTATTGTGGTTGATGACTAAGGTTGTGCTCATTTTACCTTTTTTTTATGCTTTTATGTAGTTTAATCTACAGCAATGCAAAATATAAGATCATTAAATGTTTGTAGCGTTGCTGTCCTGTGAAAACCATATATTTAAAAAAAAAAAACACTCTTCACCAGGAAAACAGCCCTGCTTTTAGCTTTGTGCATTTCCCAGTGGATCCAAGAGGCATTTCAAATTGTTTATCTAGCTTATAAAGTGAAGAATTAAGAATAAAGGATTTTCTCAGCACATAAAGAAACACTTCATCCTCCTGTTCATCACAAACATTCAAAATCATCTGGAGATACATGGTTTTCACTCGACAGGAAGGGGATAAAACAATTGAATCTGATTGGTATCTAGTCAGCTAGCTGTCAGATACATGTGGTGGAATTAAAAAGTAAGATTTAAAATTCTGAGCTGCAGTTCAGTAGAAAAGTTACATGAAGTTGAAATACTCCAGTAAAATACAAATTTTTGAGCATCTTGAGTAAATGTATGCATGTAGTAACATGAATCTATACCCGTTTTGAACCCTGCTCTCTCCTGCTGTTGTGGTTAGATATCGATGAGTGTCAGAACGGGCCGGTGTGCCAGCAGAACGCGGCCTGCCTGAACCTCCCCGGAAGTTTCCGCTGCGAGTGTAAACCCGGATATCGCTTCACCCCCACTGGGCAATGTCAAGGTAAGGCTGTGGTGGTGATCAACCAAATAAAGGTGAAAGATGTCATCAGATTATACAGTAAATGACTGGTGAAATGCATTGTTGTCACTGTTCACGCAACCCACAGCCAATCTCCTGAAGGCCTCAGTAGAGATTAAACAGAATAGGTGGAAACATGGAGCAGGATTAGAGAAAAGATTAGAGAAGGCAGCCAAAACACTTCTGTCTTCCATGAGGATGAGTCTGACTTCTCTGGATCCTCCTGTGGCCTTACACTCTCTTTTGCCTTCTCAAGCTATTGAATCAAAGTCAGTCACACGAAAGTCTTTAAACTGCACATTATTGCCAGCCAAAGATAAAGCACCAGAGGCAGTGACAGTCGGGCTGAGGAGGAACTCTTCATGGTGGGCTTGTTATTAGGGAAGTGAGAATGTGAAGCATGTGTTGAGCTGTTGAACATGTGCTGCTGTATATCTGAAACATGTCACTGTCAGACTGGAGAGTATCCTCCCCGATAAGCAAATGTTAAATCCACATCCTGTTTTTCTTCCTGAAGTCCTAACAACAAACCCCGGTCGGACCCCAGTGAGGGCAAACTGAAGCTGTGGCTGGAAACAATGATGACCACAATCTATTAAAGGCAGTGATTTATAATACAGCCGTTTGAAAAAAAGGAAATAACACAATTAACAAATAAATAATTAAGCATGCTGCAAGGCATACTTTGAAATGGTATTGGTATTAAAAATGAGTTAATGACTGTTTAAAACCATTAATAATTATGATGTTGCTCTTGGATAATGCAACAGAGTTAAGTTTCATGACCTACAGTATATTTATCTAAAAACCTTATCTCTGTAATGTTATCATAACAAATTACTCACAGGATTTAAGTAATGTATACAGTATGATGTTAGGGTTTGTTTGGATCTCCTCAAATGTTATCTGTCTGTAGCCAGACTCTTAAATGAAAATACTTTCAGTGAATTATTCCATGTCTTTCAACACATTATGTAAACTGCCTTTTAAGTTATAACAGTGTGAACAGTGAAAAGCTAGAAAACATCCAACGTTTTTTTTTTAACAATATCTATTTGCCTCTGCAGATTTCTCCTGATTTTACCGAAGGGTAGCACAAGATAATGCCTTAATTCCATATTTGAACATAACATTTCAGAAAACTGTCAATACAGAAAACCGTATTATATATATATCAACCTAGACAAATTCACCTGTTGTGTCTCCCCTTTAGTCATTTGACTTATAAATGTTGCTACTTTATAAGGACTCTAAAGACTAACACTTGGCTGTGATGGTTGTGGTTTGGCTTTGAATTTCACACTGTGTGATACTTGTTTTTCTTCTTTTTTCAGACCGTAATGAATGCAATGAGAACCCTGGTATATGCAATCCTGGTAGTTGCATTGACATGCTGGGGAGTTACCGCTGCCACTGCCCCAACGGCTTCAAAACAACACGGGACCAGTCCATGTGTGTTGGTAAGCTATGATCTCCCTTGTGTTGGACATGTAATGTGAGTGCTGTTCCAGGTAAAACTGTGACGACGCCCTCTGGTTTCAGACGTGGACGAATGTGAGAGGCAGCCCTGTGGCAACGGGACCTGCAAAAACACGGTGGGCTCCTACAACTGCCTGTGCTACCCCGGCTTCCAGAACTCACACAACGGGGACTGCATAGGTACGTGCGGCAAATTTGGAAGTGAGTTAGGAAAAGAGGATAAAGCAAATGACTAATTGTTATGTTTGTGTGTTGATCAGATGTGGATGAGTGTTCCACGCAGAGGGGCATGTGTAGAAACGGGCAGTGTCTGAACTCCTTGGGCTCGTTCCTCTGTGTGTGCAACGACGGCTATGAGCTCACTCAAGACGGCAGACTCTGTACAGGTAAGGAGCCACCATTTTTCATTCTTAATCTAAATGAAATAAGTATACTTTACAGTGTAACCCTTGTGTATTCCCTTTTCTCTCAGATATCAATGAATGTGCAGTGAATCCAGGCACATGCGGTGCTGGAACTTGTGTGAATCTGGATGGCTCTTACAGGTGTATCTGCCCATTGGGCTACTATCTCCATGAGGAGACCTGTGAAGGTACAGCAGCCTGAAGGCCTTTCTGCATCACGATCAACAAATATAAGCTTGGACATAAAAAATCCAACATACATTTTTCATGTAATAAAATATCTACATTTGTGGTTGAATCTCACCTCAGGCTATTCAATAACACCAGTTTACATGCACAAACTCTGCTGAGGTGAACAAGAATAGAATAAACTTCTTCTTCTCTTCATTTGCCTCGCTGCTAGAAAACACCCATCTTCTCCTTTCACACATGGGAGTGGGCTCAAGCCAGAACACTTTGATTGTTTATACAGTGGGGCTGATGAAGAGATATTCAACACATTCCTGCTTTGTGCCCTGTTCCTGGAAGCAGGGAGGAGCAGCACTAAATTGTCAGCATCAGTAACAGCAGCAGCTAGTCATTGAGATGAGCGAACATGTAACATAAAAGCTCTAATACGACTTTGTCGAACTATCCATTAGTGAGATTACATTCTGTTTCATCACATTTGGTTAGAATATGACCCTCTCGTATAACTTTATGCTCGCAGTATGATAGTAAAGTTAACCTACTGTATTTAATAAAGCGCTGCAGGGTGAGGCTCTTAAATACATTTTAAATGTTCATGAGGTGTTTGATTGCGTCCTTCTTTCTGTACCAGATATTGATGAGTGCTCCCTGTCGCCCGAGATGTGTACATTTGGAACCTGCGCCAACAATGAAGGAAGCTTCACCTGCTTGTGTCCAGACGGCTTCCAGGTCTCTGCCTCCGGACGCAGATGTTTAGGTAATTTTGAGTGTGTGTGTGAGAAAGAGGGGGAAAAGAGGCTATCAAACTATCTTATGCATCAAGTTCAAAGTGTAAATACTAGTGTATGTGTTTAGTCTGTCTCTAAGTGCTAGTGGAGACAAAGCAGCAGTCAGAGGTTTTTAGACTGCTCCTGCTTTTTCACGATAGCACACTGTGTTCCAGCTGGTTCTGCTGCTGCTGCCTCAACCCGGCCAAGGGTGGCTCTGAACAGATCACTTTTCCATTTCCTCACGTGTGTGTGTGTGTGTGTGTGTGTGTTTATGTACATATGTGTGTCTTTAGGTTGGGTGGGGGCGTGCTGCGTCCTCTGTTAGGGAGTTCCCCCTCCAAACACTGAAGTGATGACATCATCAGTTACAGTTTGTATTTCACTTTTCTCTCCAGTGTCAGACGTGCTGGACTGAGGGTGGGGGATAAACAGGAGGGGCTGGGTGGAGAGTGAGCTACGTGGGCAGTAAAAGAGACAAACCCTGTCCCACTGAGAAAACCTTTGCTATTTTATTAAAACTGATGATAGACATGAAGAAAATGAACAAAAATCCCGATGACAACAACTAATTATTTTATATTAAAAAACATGATGGGAGACAGATACACTTGGAATTAAATTGATGGCCAATGATTGCTTGGTCATAAGTCATAAGAACAATGAGAATCTTTCACCTCACTCGTTGCAGTTAAACTAAACCTGTGACTATTAATTACTTTAACATTGGATCTCACATTAACTTGCATATTTTTCTTTTACTACATATTGTAGTAGAGCCTTTAACAAGAACATCAGTGCCAACAACTGATGCACTGTAAATGTTGTGCAAAAAACTCGAAGCTCCATTTTAGTGACAGATTAAAAGCCCAAATACATTTAGTCAATATTATTGCTTTCTTTGCCTTTATTGATACCATATAGTGAAAGAATACAGGGCGAGACAGAGTAACATTAGTCACTGGCTGGAGTCATGCTTGAGATATTGCGATAACAGTATACAGTCAATCAATCAATCAATCAATCAATGTTTATTTATATAGCCCAATATCACAAATGTTACATTTGTCTCAGTGGACTTCACAGTTTGTACAGAATATCAGTATGACAATACGACACCCTCTGTCCTTAGACCCTCACATCGTACAAGGAAAAACTTCCAGAGAAAAACCCCACAGTTTAAAGGGGGAAATGGGAGAAACCTCAGGGAGAGCAACAGAGGAGGGATCCCTCTCCCAGGACGGACAGACGTGCAATAGATGCCGTGTGTAAATCGAAAAGATAATACATTTACAACATAGGTAGACCAAATGTTTGGAAATGCATGTGTCTATAATAAGAAGATGAATCCACGATGATGTGAAGTATACAGTATGTGTCTAACCACTAGGCCTCCAGTCCCTAATCAATTATACGCTTTAAATTATAATGCTGTAGTGGTTGTGCAAATGTCCAAAATCATGACCTCCAAATATCTGTCACCACCCCCACCACCATTAGATTTGTGTCACCAATGTCAAAGCTTGTTAAGTGTGATTTATTTCAGAGCTTAATTTTCTATTTATTTATTTGTAATTTTTTATGAAATTCGATCTCATTTTTAAATGTATTGCATAGCACTGACAATTTAGGGGAATCTATCGAGTGATCCCAATTTTTTGACATCTGTATCATATTTCAGTGAACAAACTACAAAGTCAGAATGACATATCCATACATCCAGATGCACATGTGCGTGCACTCACACACACTTGCTCGGCAGCCGTGCACAGAGCACCATAAATCTCTTCCACGGAAAGGCTGACAAATCAGTTTCATGGAGGAAAGTAACATGACACTCTTTGACATTCTCCTCACAGCACCAGGTGCTCATGTATGTGATCTTTGCCTCTTAGCCAGGTGTGTGTGCATGTGTGTGTGATCTATGGTGGTCAGAAAGCTTATTTGTGTTGAGTTCAGTGAAGGCCAGTGCTAGCAGGAGAGCGCGACCATATGCTTCTCATTATGAGTAAGTGCCTCCTCGTTCAGGAGGAATCCGCTACAGTTCTCTACCATATAGACGGTTCGGCCACACGAGGCCGACATGGAAACGCAGAAAACGATAACGATAACGGCTCCCAAGGTGGGTAGATCTGCGGACGAGACGCTCTGGGGGGGCAAACGGCTCCGTGTCTACGCCCTATACGATCATGCCCCTGCTGGGCTGTAAGAAGAGGGGGAGGAAAAGAGAGGCTCCATTTATTATTCTTATATTATTATATAGAGTCGTTATCAATTTGTTTTAAAGCTCAATAAATAACAAAGAAGACCTCTGACTTTAACGGACATGTTGACCGGCGGGAAAAAAATCTAACGGAAACTCTGCCGCACCGTTCCCTCGTCCTTTGGATGAGGCGGAGAGGTGGTATTTTGTGGCAGAAGTACAGCGCCACGTACAGGCCCGGCATATGTACTACAGCGTCTCCAGCGCTTTCGAGCGGTCTCGTGTGAACGGACACGTTTCTGGTGCCTATTGCGTGTGGACGGAAGACTTTTTTGATATCGAATTCGGTTCGTTTGCGTTACCGTTCTCGTGTGGCTCCAGTCTAACAAACACAGATCATTCAGGATTATAGCCAACCTCTGCCCTCACTGTCGATACTTCACCCGAAAAATTAGAAAATGTGGTTCAACAGTAACATACTTTGTTATTGTCTTGTCTTGTAAAAATGACATGTATTGTAAAATTATGTATGGTGTATTCATTTGTAAATATTTGAAGATGTTTTATTGAGTGTTTGTTATTATAACCTAATTATTTGGTAACCTCTAAGAGACCTTCAAGATGTTTGTAAATGATTTGCTTTATAAATATCTATAAAAAGTACATAAATGACCAGAAACCAGCTATTAACCATTGAAAATGTATTGATTATCCTAATTTTGTTGATACTTAATAAATTATTATTTCCCATTTAGCAATGTATTATATTCATATGTTGAAGTTTAATATCCATCCTGATAATGTTTATGGATGTGTATAAACCAACTATTGTAAGTGTTACTAATATCTGGTGCATATCGAATGTTTTTTTTAAGCTGTTTTATAAATCATTTGGTAATCATTACCTTGTACTTAATGCGGTATATAAAATGTTAAAATGTGTCAAACAACATACAGTTAAAATATTATTAATGATATCTTTGCTAATAATAAGTAACCATAATAACCCATACACTTTAAATGTAGCTCTTATTAATCACAGTTATTTAAAAGTTTGACCGGTAAGCATAACACTGTGCACTGTACGACTCAGTAATCTTTCAGTCCCTCTAATTCTTCGCTCTTCTTGTCCTCTGTCTTTGAACCCTCAGATATCCGTGTGAACTACTGCTACACCAGGTTTGAAAATGGCCACTGCCAGGCTCCAAAGCCTCAGAACACTTCCAAGGCGGAGTGCTGCTGCACTATGATGCCAGGTCAAGGCTGGGGAGACCCCTGTGAAATCTGCCCCACCGACGGAGAGGGTGTGTACACTTCTTATCACATACACCCACATATGGGAAACACAAGACCTTGCACAAAATAATGTTTAATGTTATTCATCATGACTCTTATGTTTCCAGAGGGTTATCCTCTTCTCTGTCCCAATGTGGGATACGAACAGGGGAAAGATGACCACCCAAAAGGTTTGTGTGTCTTTGACATTGTCCTACATTTATGGTATAGTGCTGGATGTAATTAAGTTGGTGTTGATGTTTTTGTTATTGTAGATATTGATGAATGCCTCAATGATCCCTGCATCAATGGCGAGTGCATCAACATAGACGGCGCTTTCCGCTGCGAGTGCCCAATGGGATACAATCTGGACATCAGTAAAGTCAAGTGTGAAGGCAGGTTCACTGTTTCCCTATCTGCTATCATACTTTACTGAGGTACTAAGTAGATGTTCTATGACTCTTATACTTACGCGCTTAATGGAGTTTTTTGTGACTTTCTTGAATACAGACACTAATGAGTGTGCCATTGGCAATCCATGTGGAAACGGCACATGCACTAATGTTGTTGGTGGCTTTGAGTGTGCGTGTGATGACGGCTTTGAGCCTGGGTCAATGATGACCTGTGAAGGTATGTACAATTATGTCTGCACTTCCATCATGCAGTCGTTGTGGTCTATACTATACTACTATACTGTAAGGCATTGCCTTCTATCCCTTGACCAGACATCAACGAGTGCTCCCAGAATCCTCTGCTGTGTGCCTTCCGCTGCGTTAACGTGGTGGGCTCGTACGAGTGTAAATGTCCCACAGGCTACGTGCTGCGCGATGACAAGAGGATGTGTAAAGGTAATACACTCATGCACTCCATTTACTGAATAGTGTTGTTAGAAAAGCACCTCATAGAGACATGCTGGCCCCGTCTATAAAGTTATAGTACACAATATCTCTGTGAGACCCTCAAGAGTTCTCTGTCTCAGGCAACCTTAAACTCTCTGGAAACTGTAGCCGGCCAAGTCACTGTTTACACCTCCGCTCTCTCAGATAGGCTGGGCACCATAGCAACGGTTGTATTTGGAGGGGAGCGCTGAGACAGGAGGAACTTGTCAGTGTCTGTAGCGTCACTGTTTACATTAAAGCTCCAAACAGACCACCAACCCTCCCAGTGCACGCCTGTTAGCACTTCAGAGAGCCATGTTGGATTGGGCGGTAACATTAAACTCCTGAGGGCTGAAGTTTGTTTGACCGTCTGTTACTTACATCACTGTTTTGCATTATCTTATTCTGAGTTTACTCTTTGCTCTCTAGATCAGAATGAGTGTGAGGACGGTATAGATGACTGTGCCAGCAGAGGCATGACCTGCAAGAACCTGATTGGTACATACATGTGCATCTGTCCCCCTGGATACATGCGGCAGCCCGGCGGAGATGGTTGCATTGGTAAGAATATCATACTGTCCACCTGTGGGAAATAATTAAACGTAATTCATGTTTATGGCCTTTAATCTTGGCTTCACTGTGCATAAAATAAAAACTATGTTGATACACTGTATGTAGCATGTAAAAAGCCAGTTGTGTATTCTGGATTTAATTCAATTTTAAGTGCTGTTAACCCCCCCCCCCCCCCCCCCTCCACTTCCTGTCCATGTAATAAGTTAATTTGTGACATTCATACAATAGATTTTTAAGAAACTTAACAAGAGTACAATTCTTGTGAATATACTTTATCCTTTCGCCATAAAGATCAAATGTTAAGTTCTGAATATTGGTTTAAAATACAAGCAACCAGCTGCATCATTATAAATTAGAAAATGTTCATAAAACAGGACTCTTCGTAATAAACCCTTCCACAGGATTTGAAGATTATACAATCATTTAGAGAGATATCATTTGTGTTTGAGGTGAGATGTTGGTCTCTTTATTATAGGCTTTCTCCCTGATTTGTTTGTTCTGCTAGATCTGAATGAGTGTACAGCCAAACCAGGTACCTGTAAGAATGGCCGTTGTGAGAACACAGTGGGAAGCTTCCGCTGCAGATGTGACCAAGGATACGTCGCTAACCCCACACAGACTGAATGTATCGGTACGTATATTATTAGAAATGTATATATCTGCTCATACTGTATGTTTGTTTTCACTTTGCCCCTAAACATACGTAACCTACTGTGCTCTAACACAACGTTTATTTATAAAAGATCCATAAAACTGAAAAGAAAACACTTCTTAGTGGCATGTTGTTTCTGTATTTCAAACACCTCCGAGTGAATAAGATGAAGAAATGGGATATAATTCTAGGATGGACAGTTCAGGAGTCTAACCACTGGAATGTGTATGGGTTTAAAGAGAAAAAAATAGCTCTCAGATTGACAACACTCAAATATTATTTAAATTTTAAAGACTTAACATACATTTATGTACTTGTATATTTGGATAAAAGATGATATGCTATTGAATCTTGGCTAACTAGGCGTACAAGTAATTGTTTCATGTCAAAGTAAATGTAGCTATTCCATGACACTGTCTTGTTAAAAAACATGTGTCTGTTACTGTCAAGATAGTGGAGAGGAAATCCTTTCATAGCCTTCCTCCCTAATCTAAATATATACTTCTGGATAGACGTGATGTGTCGAATTTGATGAGAAACCCACCAGGGAGATTTCGTGAGCGCTGTGGTTATATTGCTATCTTCCTCATTACAGACAGTAGTGATAGAGCAGTGTGTTATCGTCTAGTTCTCCGAGGCCAGGTCGTGTCTGGGTGGTTTGGTCTGCTTTCCTCTGGCCCACCTCTTTATTTGTCTTCTGTCTCGCATGACTTTTTCTGCCTCTTCCACCTTCCAGATAACCGAGAAGGCTTCTGCTTCACTGAGGTTTTGACCACCCTGTGTCAGATGACTTCTAGCAACAGGAACTTGGTGACCAAGTCCGAGTGTTGCTGTGACGGAGGCAGAGGCTGGGGCACAAGCTGTGAGCTCTGCCCCCTGCCCGGGACCACTCAGTACAAGAAGATGTGTCCTCTGGGACCCGGGTACACCACCGATGGCAGAGGTATCTTACAGCTGAGGAGACTGGAGTTCAAATTAGATCACTGTGAAAAACTGAGAATCGATTAAAAACTGACTGCACATTTTCCACAGTTGATGAATGTGGATATTTCCATGACAATATTCTAGTTAAGAAAGTGTTTTATTTAAGATGATTGACCATGCTGGTAGTTTTGCATGATGTAAACCAAAACTACGAGCCACTAGAAGTTTACATGTTTAGTTATTATACAGATTCTGGTTTATATTCAGTTCTGTAACTTGCAGCAGACAGCTGTATTCATTTTGAAAACCTTTCTTTGTTTCAATGGAGTCTACAGCATTCAAGTCTAAAACTCATTTCTAGAAAAATCATTGCATTTATTAGCTATGATATCAGCAGAATAAACCTTGAAGACAATAAACAAAGAATCATAAAAAATCTACCTGTGTCAGCAGGCAGTGTTTCTAAACTCATCAATGATCATAAAGTATCTTAACGTAAAATAAAGCAGTGACATGATCAAGATGATGAATTATCTTAACAAGGTTAGAGTTATGTTCTGCGTTCTGGGTTGTAAACCACCAAGGTAAATGACTGCGCGAAAAGTACAAAATGTATTGATATGCTTTTTAAATTTGTCAGCTGAATACATTTTGCATGAAACCACTGATACGGTGGGTGTTAAGTTAAAGGTCCCATGACATGGCCATTTCTACTGATCATAATTCCATTGTTGAGGTATACTAAAATAGATTTACATTGTTCAATTTTCCAAAATCACATTGGTTTCTCATACAGCATCTCTGTATAGTATGTGTATTCACTCTCTGTCCTAAATGGCTTGTTGGAGCTCCTGCCACCCCCCCCCTCCCCCCTCCCCCCCCCCCCCCCCCCCCTATGAGCCCGCTGTGCTCTGATTGGTCAGCTAGCCCACTATGTTCTGATGAGTCCACCGCCGTTACAGCGGAACATCAGTGATTATGTGTTACAATGGCGTTTGATAGCAACCAGAAAATGACACCAGTAATGACAAACAGATGAGAATGCTGCGTGGGGTCTGGGTGCCGTGTTGGCGGGACGTTGCGGGGCTCGCTGCTCCGCCCTTTGAGGATCGAGGAGCGGACAGTGTGAGCTGTATTACTGGTGTCGTTTCCTGGTTGCTGCGTGGGGTCTGCGAGACAGCGAGACATCGCGGAACTCAGCCTGAGCAAACAAATACACTCACAGCCAGGCTGTTCACCACACAGTTCGCCACACACTCACAGCCTGAGAAAAGACAAGGCTGAGTGAGTGTGTGTGTGTGAGGAGCTCCACGGATTGGTCCATTTGGACCTGGGTATGGTCACGTCACTGTACTCAGGAAGAATAAAATGGAAAAAGAAATATCTCCAACGAGGCGTTCTGGGGCAGCATAGACAGGTCTTTTCTGTGTAAGAGTTTTACTCGCTACAGGGTGTACTTTGAGGGTTTGTGACTTTGCAGACTGTTTACATGCAGAAAAAGCTACATAACACACAAGGGGACGGGTAATAACCGGAAAAGCATGACATGGGACCTTTAAGATGCCTGTTGTTTGCTGTCTGCTGATTTAATCACTTGTAAAGCATTGTTTTTTCTTTGCCGGTAAAAATCAAAACTTTTATACTTGACACAACACTGATGCACAACTAAATGCGTTTAATAATTAGGTTGTGTTTGGCAAAGAATATTGTCTTAAAGAAACAAAGACATGGACCAAGAATACACTGTTGTTCCTACTCAGGAATATTCCTTGTAATTCAGTTGTGATGAGTTTATCTGGAGCTAACTTTCCTTGTTACCTTACAGATATTGATGAGTGTCGTGTGATGGGCAACTTGTGCAAGAACGGTCAGTGTCTCAACACTCTGGGCTCCTATAGCTGCACCTGCAAAACCGGCTACACTACTGACATCAGCAGCACACAGTGTGTGGGTAAGGCTTAATTTAACCTCCAGCACTTACACTTTATGGACTCTTTTCCTCCCATGCATACCTCCCATCCTCATTCCTGCTGTCTAGTAAAGAGCCGAAACTACGTGGGTGGACTGCCCACACACTCCTCTAAAAAATGCAGTCTGCGTCTGTCTGTCTCATCATCTCCACTTATGGAATTTCTGGCTTCAGGATCAAACTCTCACTGTCTCACTATCACCCTTTCCCTCTCTCTCTAGATGTGGATGAATGCATACAAGCACCAAAGCCTTGTAATTTCATCTGTAAGAACACAGAGGGAGCATACCTCTGTTCCTGCCCCCGTGGATACATCCTACAGGAAGATGGAAAGACCTGCAGAGGTGAGTGACACAAAGCAAAAAAGATCTAAATATTCAAAAGTAGTCCACATTACTTGAGTTCAGCAGGGTGCAGAACAGTGAATCACTGTGTGAAGACGCTCCTTCACTGACTTGCTAGTGTCAATGTGTTTGTTAGTGAATCTGTACTCTGCATCAAAGCCTGTGACACCGTGCATCTGGCAGTGTCTCTGTTTATCAGGCTTGTTTGTGAGTCTAAACAAGTGCATGCTCGTGGTGTTTTTCAGGTCCTCTTTCAACTTTATTTACCATAGCTGTAGTTTCCCCCCCTTCAGTCCCCCTCTGTGTTTCCGGTGTCTGGTTCATTTGCAGTTCATTTGTAGGTCACTGACTGTAGAAGGACTGGAATTTGTACTCACAGCAAATAGCAGCATACAGTATCTTACACAGCTCCAACCACTGTATGTTGATGCAGAAGAGGAAGTAAAAGGACTTTACTAGAAGTACAAGTCCTGCATTTAAAATCTTACCTAATAGTACAAAAGTGTTGTCATCTAAATATACCAAAAGTGACAGTACCTATTATGCAGAAAGGCCCTTTTCAGGACACATTATATTATTTGATTTTAATTATTGATGCATTTGATTTGTTCACTGCTATAATTTGCAGCTGGTAAATGTGGATCTCATTACAATTTCTGCTAGGTAGTTTAACACTAACCCTTACATTTTATTACACCATCATTATTAATTGATTTATATTTTGTATTATTAATCCACAAATTAAAAAGTAACATTAGTTATAAAACGAATGTAGTATTGTAAAAAGTAAGATATTTGTCATTTGTATGAAAGTACCTGAACATTTTACTTATGTACAGTATTTAAGTAAATTCCACCACAACTAAAATGTATTATGTAAAATGACTTTATTTTAATGTATGGCAGATTTGATATTGTACAACTCTCTTTTTTACAGATCTGGATGAGTGTTCGACAAAGCAGCATAACTGTCAGTTCTTGTGTGTTAACACTATCGGAGGGTTTACCTGCAAATGTCCTCCTGGCTTCACCCAGCATCATACAGCCTGCATAGGTAAATAAACATATGCATATTACAGATGCACTGCACATCCCAAAAATGTTGTAATAGTCGTTATGCAAATGTCTGTGTATTCCCAGAAGCATCATGTCAAATACACACAGTATGTTCCCTCACAGTAATTTCTAAAAGTATCTTCTTGCCAAGCTCATAAAGGAGCCCTGAACCAGCCTTTTGTCCAACCTTTGCTAACTCCCGTTAATGGACTCCGGCTGATATCACACTGATCTTATTAGGCTGCACCAGTTTGGAGTCATGGCAGCTTAGCAATGCTTTGTTATGGAACGTTGCAGCAGATCGCCATGACTACCACAAGCTTTTTTTTTCCAGACCATAAAGCAGCTCCCATGACCTCACATGAAATCAGGGACAGGGAAACCTCAGTTTTGACTAAAGGAGCAACAGCAGACTAATGACATACAGCAGACGTGTTATTAATTTCAGAGTAAGGAGGTTGGAGAAACATGGGTGTGACATTAGGAAAACTTCAGTAAATACTGCTGATGGGCTTTAGTGTAGGAAACCAAACCCAAACTCCTCCCGGACAGGTGCTCAAGGGCCAAGACTTATTATAAAGACCTTTTATTCTTTCTAATACACCTTTTCCTTATCACTGCCACTATAAAGAAGTGTAAATCCTTCTTTAATATAATGTTATTTAAGGTAGCTGTATTCATTAAAACTGACTGACAATAATGCCTTCTTAAAATCAAGGCGTAAATCCATGTGAACAATAAGTGCCACAAAATCCCTGACTGTCCATATTACCAAGAGTCTCTTTAAATAAAGCTGATGATGATGATGATGATATCTATCAAACACACCGTCCCAAAATGGCTATCTAAAAAGCTACAACAAATTCCCATCTTTCTCATTGTCGCTTGCCCTTCAGACACAGCTCAATGTTAATTGGCAGTTACCAACAGTGGTCAAGCTGTAAAACAAAATCAGTGAATCCGATCTATTTCCAAAAAAAAGTTATTTTGATACTACACTCACTATGTTCTGCATTTGAAAGAAACATTTCCAGATTGTGTTGACGGACTGATCTAATCTTGGGTCTGTGTTGCTAAATAGTTTGAATTTCCTAATTAGGTTCAGATTTTCCGTCACTTCAGCCAAACATGTTTGTGATTAAATGACTCTTTCCCGGGAAAAACTTGTAAATGGACATTATGCTAGATTATTTTGTCAAACAATTATTCCCAAAGTAAACAATTCACAATTTCACTCAAATGTTTGTTATTACTTCCTTTGGTCTGAAATGGAATCAGTAGGTGAGAGATTGTATTCCTAAACCCTTGCAGACTATGAGATCATTTGTATGAACAGTCCATAATGGGCCGGCCCTTAAAAAGAATGGAACCAATGTCGACTCAAATTTGACTATCCACTTTCAAATCAGCATATAATAAGCTATAATAAGATGTTTTACCCCTGTGTGAACCTTCCTTCTGTGTAGACAACAATGAATGTGCATCCGACCCCAACATGTGTGGCTCCAACGGGGCCTGCCAGAACACTCCAGGGAGCTTCAACTGTGATTGCCAGCGGGGATTCTCGTTAGATCCCAATGGACAAAGCTGTGAAGGTCTGACAACAGTTTTTAACAACTTGAGTATCCGCTGTTTCATTACAAAAAGTAGGCTCTTACTGTAGTTTTGTTGTGTGTCTGTCCCTCACAGATATGGATGAGTGTGATGGAAACCACAGGTGTCAGCATGGCTGTCAGAACCTGGTGGGTGGATACAGGTGCAGCTGTCCTCAAGGCTACCTGCAGCACTACCAGTGGAACCAGTGTGTAGGTGCGTAATACTGCCGTTATTTTTTATTTGCAAATATACAAATTATTTCCTTTTGGGACATCCTGATGCCTTGTTGCCAAAATACGTACCATGCAGCCTTGATGTTCTGGACTGGAGCCCAGCCTCGAGCCTTTTTAAAACAAGTCATCCATTCTTCATGTCTTTCCTGTCACTCTTAAGATATAAATATGTCAAAAATGTTTTTCCTTTCCTCTGGAAGTTCAACCCTTCCCTTGCTGGGGTAAGGTCATGAGAAAGGAAATGTTTTTAAAAATAAATGCTCAAAAGATAAGTTATTATATATACACACACTTAAAATACAACCTATGACGAACATATTTAGAAATAATTCAGGCTTAGATAAAGTAATTGTATGGTACAGTGTGTGTGTATGCCCCTAAATGAAGAGCTTTTGTTAGTTAAAGCTTTATTTTTAGTTTGAATCCCTCCACATATTTACACATTCATGGCCAGCTTTCCCAGCATTGTGTGTCCTTTAACTGGAATGACCTCTTGTTTGTTTACTTCCTGTGACCCAGATGAGAACGAGTGTCAGACCAGCCAGATCTGCGGCGGAGCGTCATGCCACAACACCCTGGGGAGCTTCCGCTGCCTCTGCCCCACCGGCTTTAACTACGAGCAGACAGGCGCGGGCTGCTCAGACGTCAACGAGTGCTCCACCAGCCAAAACCCCTGCAAGTTCGGCTGCTCCAACACGGACGGGGGCTACCTCTGTGGATGTCCCACTGGGTACTTCCGTGCAGGACAAGGGTACGTTAATGCATGGCTGTGAGCAGAGATGGGAAGTAGTGGAGTACAAATACTTTATTACTGTACTTAAGTACATTTTTCTGGTACCAGTACTTTACTCCACTACTTATTTTTCTGACTTTTTACTTTTACTTCTTACATTTTTAACACAAATACCTGTACTTTCTACTTCTTACATTTTCAAAACAGGCTCGTTACTTTAGTTTTGATCTGTGTTTGGTGGAGTGATCATTATTATTTAGAGTCATTGCGTGCCTATTGATTTTAACACGATCCATGTATCCATCATTTCCTGTGAAATTTTCCAATGAAAACTTTGTCATTTTGCCATTGTTCAGCATCGAAACATTCATTATTAGCTCACAATGACATTATTGTTCTATTAATATAAAGGGAGGTCAGTTACTCTTTAAAATAGTTGGTAGTTATGGGCACTTTTTACTTAAGTACATTTCGAAGCCCATACTTCTTTACTTTCACTTGAGTAAAGAAGTTTAGTCAGTACTTCTACTTTTACCAGAGTATTTTTAAACATGAGTATCTGTACTTCTACTTGAGTAAAGGATGTGTGTACTTTTGCCATCTCTGGCTGTGAGAAATCTCTCTGTAGATGGTTCTAAGTTACTGACAGCTTTGTCTTGTTTTCAGGCACTGTGTCACAGGTCTGGGCTTCACTAGTGACGGCTCCAGTGCTGAACCGGAAGGTGAGGCAGATGATAACTCTCTGTCCCACGAGGCCTGCTATGAATGTAAGATCAACGGATATCCCAAGAAGGGACGCAAACGCCGCAGCACCAACTCGACACAGGAGGATCCTCAGGACAACTCGCAGGTGACCTGTCTGCCTGAATGCAATATGCACCACTGTAGCTACCAATAAGGACACAGAAATACATCAACAATTCAAACTTAAAGAGTTGTTTAAAAAACGTATTCCAGACTATTTTCCAAATTTCAGGCCAACAAAATAATAAGCGTAGTAAAGGCTTCAGTATTTATCACTGGAAAAGTGTTCAAAACCTTCTCTATCGTTTCTGGTCCATCTTTTAACATGTTAGGGATTGAATCTGAAAAATAAGGATCTCACTATTGCTCTTTTGAATAAGAAAACAGAAAACATACTGTTTAGGACACGTGTTATTATCCACTTCATTCACTTGGACCACGTTTCTCTCTGCAGCTGACTGAGGAGATGGTGAGCCTGGCCAGTGTGGACATCGAGGACACGCTGCACATCCACCTGAACATCAGCGACCTGAGCAACCGCGACCACATCCTGGAGTTCACCCCGGCCTTATCCGCGCTCAGTGACCATGTGCGCTACAGCATTGACTACGGAAATGAAGAAGGCTACTTCAAGATAAATCAGAGAGAGGGCGTTAGCTACCTGCATCTGAGCAAGAAAAAGGCCCTGCTCTCAGGGGCATACTCCCTTCAGATCAGCAGCGTGCCCACGTACAGGAAGAAGGAGCTGGCTGAGCTGGAGGATCAACACGATAAAGACTACCTCACAGGACAGCTGGGAGACATACTGAAGATGAGGGTGCAGATCGTCCTTCATTAACCATCACAAGACTGAGACAGGCAGATGTTGCTGGCAGCTGCTAATTCAGTGTCAGGCTCACACTTCCAAAAAAAGCTAAAACATCTCTGACTCTGGATCAGCAGTCAGGGGCAACTTCTACTTGCTCCCACAGGGAGATCGGCTCGCCACCAAAGAGACAAGAAGGAGGGTTGGCAAAAGATGCCAAAGATGATTCTACATATCATAGATACAAAGATGCAAAAGATTGCCAAAGATGATTCTACATATCATAGATACAATTTCTGTGGAAAAAGCCAGCTGATTAAGGCGATATGATAGATTTCAGTCAAATGAAGAACACATTGCCCTAACACACAACATCAGCAGTGTGTGAAGCACTAGAAAGATTGTGAATGGTTTTTCAGGTTAGGGTTTAACGTTGTAAGATGATATGTGGAATCAAGTGCCACTTTGAAAGGGCATGAGGACTGCAGAAAGAACTTTATAGAACTAAGCTTAGGTGAGAGGAAAGAGTGAGTCCCAATAGTCTGCGATGAATTCATTTCCTCCCCTCAGGTAAATAACCGACCAAACCTGCATACATGAAAGTAAACACATTTCTTCTTTCCATAGTTATTAATTTCATGGAGTGAAGATGAAAGAATGTTATGGGAATGTTTAGGAGAGGAAAGGAATCAACCATGAACTATTGAGATGTAGCCATGTCTGAGCTTGAATGACTCCTACTGCATATTTAAACTATGCTTTTCCATCTTCCCTACTGACTAGAATAATTCATATTTACTGGTGCTAGCAACCCAACTACATAGACATCTGAATGCACTGTATTACTATACAAAACTCAGTAGTCAACAATTATACAATTCTATTGGTCATTCTGAAAATGTCATGTCTTTGCAACAGTAACAGCTAGCTTCATAGCCTGTCTGCTCTCTATACTACATGTAAATTGTGTTTATACTGTAATAATCGATGCCACTTTTAATCTATGAAGCATTTGTAAACTAGAGGAAGCCCCTGGAATAGAGGGGTTTGTAATGGTGCTTATAATGACCAACTACTTCCTTTGTAAACTGTGTATACATACACACCTGCACACACACATTGATAATGCCAAACCTGGGCCTTCATGATTATGCACTGAGGTCTTAGTGGCCACACATTCTCTCACAAATACAATCAGTGCTGCATTGCCACGGACCAGCCTGACACCAGTCTGTGTTCTCTGTTCACATCAGTGAGGGTTTAGTTGTAAATTCACAATAAAAACATATTTTTGGTGTACAAGTATTCACTGCTGTGATTCCCCTTAATCCAGATTTACTTTGTAATCACATTCAGCTACAGACAGTTGCTTCATGTCAGAAATCTCTGGAACACACCTATGAATTGAGCTTTAATTTGTTGATGAGTGACACTTATAAGACCAAGATGCAATTATTGTCCTGTGCTGCCCCCATGTGGTGATTTTGAAGATTTGTTTAACTTTGAAGAGGATCAGACAATACGTTTATGAGACAGAACTCAATGTGACAGTCCCAGTAAATAAAGACTCAAGAATACAAAAACAAAACTTTATTTAATATATTCAGCATGTACATCTCCACCTTTAGTTGGAGCTTTCAATTGCGTCCAGTTGATCCAAAACCTCCAGCACCACGCTCTGTCTCATCAAGCGTCTGAAAGAACACAGGCAGAAAGTAGATTTAATGATTCAAAACTAAATCGGAGGACATCGAAAAAAACCTGCTTCAATAAATACCAACCTTCTAATAAAGCTGAACATTGTAACTTTCATGAAGCTCAGATATATTGCAGGGTATTACAACTGCATTTGTCTTAGCAAAGTGTTCTTAATCAAACTGAGTGCATGTACGCATTTATATTGTTCTTGCAGTTTACCTCTTGTTCCTCCAGATCGGGGTAGCAGATCCTCTCACAGACCAGCTGAGCAACTCTGTCACCCTTTTTTACTGCGAAGATGAATAGCAAGAGATGAGACAATGGTTTTTACATTGCATATCTTAAATTACATGACATCAATGCAGGCTGTAATAAAAATCCAATGTACAATTTATTTTCAAATCACTTTTAGCCAGTTGAAATGTTACACAAACTGTAAAATTGCAACAACAACAAAAAAATAGGCCGCTTTGGTATGTAAATCAGAGAAGCAATTATATTTTATTAACAGTGTGCATATTAAAAAAATACTTGCCATTTCACACAAATGAATTTTAAAAGAATCAAGCAGGGAAGATTGAAAATCAACAAGTTTTGTTTACTGTTGGTATAGTGAATTCTCAAAAATACAAATTGAATGGGTTAAGGTTACGTTTTGCTGATAAAAAAAAAGTTACTCAGGTACGTCACTAATTTCACGACTCACCATCAAATGTGTCCTTGCTGAAGTTGAAGAGCACAACTCCCACATTTCCTCTATAGTCTTCATCTACAACTCCAGCTGAGGAGATCAGAGACATCAGAGAAATTAAAATGACTTGCAAGACAAAAGGTTAAAACTACACTTACTCAGTACAAGTAGACGAAACAGGTGAAGACTCACCACCAACATCAATGAAGTGTTTGGCTGCCAGTCCAGACCTCGGTGCTGAGTAAAACAAATGGTAAGATATAGTTAAGACGTGTTGTTCTGCAACTGGTTTCATATCTAAGCTTGAATATACATACATGCATCAGCATGACAAACACTCACCAACTCTCCCATAGCAGCCATGAGGAACTGCTATCTGTATGTCTGTCTTCACAATGGCCTTATCCATAGGACCAAGGGTGTAATCATAGGCACTGTTTAAATGTAGAGAAATATAGTTTGCTGTTTACATGACAATATATAAAATACTTTTTTTTACACAGGATTACATTCAGCAAGTAAATTCAACCTATGTAGATGCATGAGCTTATTGTTCTCAAACATTTTAAGTGACAGCAACAGTTGGATTTTAACAAATGTATACCAAGTCATTAAACATACATTTTAAGGAATATACGGTCACAACATTCATACTAAACCTAATTTACGCAAACGTTAAATTGTCATTAAGTCAATTCAGCATTTTATTCAAAGTGCAAAACCAACCTGTAGAGATCATATCCCGCTGCTTTGTTTGAGCCTCTGGTCGGTGTGGTAGCATGCTCAGAGAGTTTTGCAAACCTGAGGACAGATCTTTCCTCTGCAGGCTTTGTCTCGGTCCTTGCCCTCTTCGAAGGAGAAATTGTAGATGCATCTTTAACTTCTAGAGCGGGCATGATGGAAAAGTTGTACAGTTAAAACGGATAGTACACTAAATTGTTTATACGGACTTAAGACGTACTACTTACTAACCAAGAGACAAAACTACAGCCGACTACTACAAGGTATACAACCTCTCAAGCTTCTTCGGTTTCTTCGCGCTACTACTATTTAAAACGAATTTCCCGCGCTGGAAGTACCGCCAAATTAGCCCCTCCCCTAGACAACCCAGCGCCATATAGAGACAACCCAAACTCCAAACAGATACTTTATTATACCGCGCAAGTGTAATGAAAGTAACTCCAACAATAAAAGCTACACAACTGTCATGAATGCCTTTGGTGGAAAACCTATTAAATAAACATAAAGGAAAGTAAGTAAGTATTTTCTGTAACTATGCCAACCCGTTTGTCACAAAGTTCTCGCGAGAGCTGCTAATGTAAACAACCGCCTCCTCCCGTCACAATGATATGTAACTAAAGAACAGGAACATGTTAGGTCAATATCAAGCCTCACTTTACTTACGCATTGCACCAGAATATAGCAGACGTAGTGTGGGTGTTACGAGCTCAGTACAAGACAGATGAAGAACTTAACATAGTAAAACCATCCCGGTTTCATGTACTAAATGCTAGGCATGCTAGCAAAGCTAACGTCATTAAGCACTTGACATGCTAATAGATACGTTATCCATCCTAAGGTCCAGCTTGCCTTTGTTAAGAGCGACTGTTTGAATATGAAATGTCTTTCCTACGAAACGTGGAGCAGCATCAAACATCGCAGAGCATTGTAGATGAAGGTTCCTTAGCTTTAGCAACGTTCGTGTCATATTGTTTGCTAAGGTTGTCTGCAGGCTAACATCCGCTCAGCTGTTTGCTCTGCACTTCCTGCTCCTCCCCCTGTCATGCAGCTGCTCGCTCACACTGCAACAGTGCAATGTTGAAACAAAAATATATTCTGGTTATAAATATATTTATTGAAATACGAAAAAAACGTTTGTCAGTTCAACGTGTCTATGGATTGTCTCGTTGTCTTGTAATTAAATAGATTCAGTAAACAGAAGTCACTAAAAGCAATTATTGTGGCAATATTCATGTATGTTATTAGGTTATGCTTATGGAAAGATCTATCCGAGTGTGCAGCAAATACATTTGGATGACTTTTTTTCTCTATGATCTGGTATCATTACTGATCATTACATGAGAATATACAGTCAGAGCCAGATCTCAAGTGCATTGCTGCCCCTATTGGGAATATATCAGCATTGCCATACAGGATATGGAGGATTAATATGTTGTCCTTATATACATTTGTATAATGTCGTCTTACTATTTTATATAACCTTTTATATTAAATGCAGTGTCCAAATGTCTCTATTAGCCGTACCAGATGCCCCCAGATTGTTCTGTCTTGGAGAGACATCATAGGCTATTTGTAGCTGGTCTTGCATAAACTTGCAGTTTGCTAATGCTTACACTTTATACTTGTGTAACAGTGTTCTCAAAACAATCGTCATGCAGTAATGTTCAACTTTGAAATATATAATTCACTTCAGAGTTACATAAAACGAGCTATTGACACATTTATCTGGACAAGGTATATGACATTATCTCATCTAATCACCCATTAAATGACAGACACAAAAATATGATCAGCTCAAAATTGTATTAATCCTTTATTTCAGGTTATCACACAATTAGATATTTAAATAGGAAGATAGAGAAAAGGTTAAAATGTACAGAAGTCTTCCTTTAAAATCATTCACTATATTTTCCTCAGACAAAAAGTGTGCTGTGGTAGTAACATTAAACATAATGTGGAACAGGTAAACAGCTTTATGAGAACAGTGTATTTTACACCCAGTGAATATCAAGGAGTGTTAGAAAAAGAATCAAACCATTACTACTGCGTTTCAAAAGAATAGATGTTAATGATTGTTTATGAAAGGCAGGTTTTTTTGCTGAGAAACTTCTGAATCCAGACATCTACTATGTACATACATTTTTACGATGACTGCAGCAGGTTACACAGTCACTCACCATGAAAGCGACATGTGTCACTGCCTTTGTTCATTTCAATGGGGTGACTAAGTTAGGAAGCCCAAGAATGTTTTTTGTTTTTTGATCTATATTATATCTGAAGATTAAACCATAAAATCTGTACTTGTCCACTGCTGCAGTGTGTTTAAAACTTTGACTCTGCTTCTGAATTCACATTCAGGCTGACATTTTTAAATTCAAAATCAGAAATAAATTTCCCTTTATTGAGACTAGCCTTGCTCTTCACTGAAAGCATATATACAAAATCACCAGGCAGCACTGTGTAAGGCTCCTTTGTAGGAAAGCTGGCAGAAACTTCACAAAGTGCAACCCATCTTTAGTGTTTTGACTGAAAATGACTTAATAATACCTTTGCTAAATACTCCGGCTAACAACTTAAAAATGCATGTGATAGATTGTGGTTTTGGTCAAGAGGACTGAATAACATCATCTGAGGTTATGGTTAGCTTTATGAACATGGTCCATCATTAAGGTATTACTATTTGTTTTCTTTGTAGCTACCTATATCCTACTAGGTGCTCAGGAGTAGAAAGTAAGCACACTCTTGTGGTTGCCTCTGATGAGCAGAGTTGGTGGAAGGTCTTTTGTCAGGATATCCAGCCAGGCCATGTAGAGGTAGTCAGACACAGATTCCTTACGAGCAATAGGCATGCTCCTGCAGGGCGAGAGCATAGAGAGTATGTAAGACACTGTTTCTTCCAAACTTGGCACTATAAATGTTATTCAGTGACAGTTTGTTCTACTTACACAATGATCAGATTGGCTGACTTGGAGTTTTCCTGAAGCAACTCATTTAGTCGTATCTGGAGGTTGGTCTGAAATACAACAGCAGAAACTTTTTTAACAATGCTTTTCAACCTTACTTTGCTGTTAAATGCACCAACAAAACCAAACTAATACACATTTCTCTTTCTTTATATAAGTCTTAACTTGGTGTTAGTGGTTTTACCTTCTCTTCAAAGGAGCTCAGCTCTTCATCAGTGATTTTCCATGGATGCTCTTTTCGCATGGCTTCAGCCTGAGCAGTGTCCTTAGACCCCTCATGCAGACAGAAAGGCTCAATCATTTCCTCTAACTTCTTCAAGCTGGAGGAAAGCAGATAAGAACATGAGTTGACTGTGAAAAATATAATTTCTTTAAAAATTGTATAATATGTAAATAGGGTGAGGTGATTACATTTGATTATTACTGTAGCCTATTACAGACCTATTATCTGGTCTGCTGTCAGTATTATAACTGCAAAAACGCAATTACCTGTTAGGGCTGGGCTGGACATGGATGTCATCAATGACATTGATGTCAGTGCATTTAATTCTGAATTTTTGCAACAGAGACTTCATCCTGAAAGACAAAATATAATACACAGATTAATTTAACAACGATTGTTGGTAATTACTTTCAGGTAATGTTAAATATTATCTCCATTGTTATTATTTTTAAAATATTTGACTCACTCTTGTTTATCCTGCTCAGTGCGTCCCGGCTGCCCTGCGATGAAGATCCTTAATGAACAGTCCTTCCACTTCTTCCTGGTGGTGAGGATGTATGGGAGCAGCAGGGCAAGACCTAAGGGAGGGAGATGCAGTTTTCAAATTGTGAAACCAATTAATCCAGTTAAAACATATGTATTTTATGTGTCTCATTTGCCAATGTAATGTGTTTGCATTTATCAGAATCTGTTTGCTACCTCTCAAACACTTAACAAAGCAACTGCACATTTGGAGGAGAGATCAAGTTTAGGCAGGACACAAATGATTAGATTTTGGTTGTGAAACAGATCTTGAGTTGAAGACTTCTTGTTTACCTTTTCTGTCCTATTTGATTATGTTGTATTGTTCAGGATTAATTTGAATTGTATGGCATTAGTATCAAGGAAATTAGATGTGTCTCTGCACATATTGGTTTTAATCTTAATCTAATCTTTATGGCAAGAAGCATAAAGGCAGGCTGCCTAGGGGAACCAGTACCTACCTCCATCATCAAACAGCCACCATACATCAATGGTTCCTTTAGGCTGTTTCTTCCGGAACTGAGAACTGGCCTCTGACAGCCTCTCATTCATCTTGGCAACCTGCGGGGGTGGAGGGCCGCACACTGACACTGAGAGAAAAAAAATACAAGAAACGAGAAGTGGATGAGGGATAAGAACCGCAGGAGGGAATTTAATATATTGGCAAAGTGCGGAGAGCTAAGTTGGATAGGAAAACTAGCTCAAATCAACATTAATAGCTGACTCTACAACTCTCTCAGGTTTAATGTTACAATGAATGGGATCCAGATTGCATACTAACAACTGTCGCAGCCTTGTGTGTGTGTGTGTGTGTGTGTGTGTGTGTGTGTGTGTGTGTGTGCGTGTGTGTGTGTGTGTGTGTGTGTGTGTGTGTGTGTGTGTGTGTGTGTGTGTGTGTGTGTGTGTGTGTGTGTGTGTGTGTGTGTGTGTGTGTGTGTGGTGTGTGTGTGTGTGTGTGTGTGTGTGTGTGTGTGTGTGTGCCCGCGTGTGTTTGTGTGATGTAGAGACAAAGACAGATCGACGGAGAGGCACTGCTGTCTGGGTTAAAGGGCCGCTCTTAAGGGATGCTCTTCAAACTGGAACAAAAGGGACCATATTATTGGATTACACCCTCAGAGACATCTTTAGTGGGAGTGCTTGATTCAATTACATCTCGATGGGAGTGAGGGAACGTTTCCAAAAAAAGATGTGTGCCATTTGTTTCATTTGTTAAATGCAGGGTATCTCAGTGCAACGAGAAGCAGAGTGAGGTAGACACCTGCTTTCCCTACATAATAAAAGACCATACACATCTGCTAACTTTTCTTCAGATAGCTTTGATCGAAGCCTTTCTGAAATGTCAGCTAGGATTTGAACGCAGAGGCGCGACCTCTAGAGAGATATACCTCTTGTTGCGAGCACTTGCTGAGAGGATTTCCTGGACTTCCTGAACAGTCCTTTTGATTTCCCTCCGTTCTGCATCATCTCATTGTCCTGTTGTTCCTTTGCTGCCTTCAGCATGTCCTCTGAAAGACAGAATCACATTGCCTGTTTTTGATAAAGACATCATAATTGTGTTACATTATTAGGGCTTATCTTTGCTGTTGTAATCATTTCTACAGAGGCAGATAACTGGTAGTTATTCTACCATCATATCTGTTAACTACCTGACCTTCATAAATAATTAGTAATCTACAGAACAAAGTGCCCTGGCTTATCAGTGTTATTCTTTCCGTTGTGGGTTGTAAGAATAAAGGTCCAACAGCCGTGCACACTCTACTCGTTTATTTATTGTTTAATTTCTGTCAAGAAGCCACCTCCTTATTCATTTTTAATCGTTTATTTGAACCGGGACAGTGCACATTAATGAACATTTTAAACAAAATAATGCTTTTAAATGT